TTACCTGTTCTTTAAAATTGCACGACTGTATTGGGTTATTTTGTTTTGAAATGGAGATCTTTAACTTTTCTAGTTTCATCTGTTGATTTCTTTTCTTTGAATTTCTAATTTGTAACACAATAAATTCACTGAGTGCCCAGCAAAATTCCTTTAAGGAGCCTTCATAATCATGTAGTATCAGCCAAGATTCGTATAGAAGAAGCATTCCATGTTGAAGACTTTAAATGGACATAGGATATGTCTGCCTCATTTAGAGACTAAAACCATCCACTCAGGGCTCTGTACAGTATCAAAATGAGCTCCTCATATTTAGGAGAAGGAAATATATGAGAACTAAGATGGAGTTAAATGCACCAAGGAATATAATCTTTATGAGGATACAATTTAGAATAATTTTATTGTGATAATCAGGGTAGTGTGAGGAAATCAAACCTTATTTTTTGATTCTGGAATTTCAACCAAATGAAATAGTGCAGTGACTGACAACACTGACACAGAGTCTAAGTGGGTTCCCAACATGGGTGAACCACCACTTACCAGTAATTGACTTAATCTCTTTCTATGGTGTAACTATGTTATACAACTGCTAAGGGTACATGATCTGTCTGTGTCTACCTGTCTTACCTCATCTCTTACATATTCTCAGATTCTTTAATAAATCGTAGCTATATTAGCAATCTATCAGAGACACATTTGACCTCAAATAACAAACTGCAATAACTTATATACTCAATTTTTGTTAAATATTTATTACATTATTATAAACAATTAACTTCTGAGCACCATGAGTTTTATGTTGCGTTTTCATTCTACTGTTTATATTTTGAAATTTAAATGAACTCATTTTAAGATGGTTTCTTTTCCATATAAAACATAGAATTCATTCCTGAATTCTTGACAGACCATATCAGGAATTCTGTCATAGTGTTATTTTGGAAATATCCAATAGGCATGCATTTGGACTGTGTAATCTCTTTATAAATCCTGTTGTCATACATGGTTTTCCTTCTCCATCATCGAAGGAGTCTTATTAGCATTTCTCATACATTGAATCTTCAATTCCTGAATTCCATGTTATCATTTACTTTCTTCATGGAGAACACCTTCAGTAAATTCTGGAAAAGCATTCATAAAAGAGAAAGTTTTGAGACCTTGCATTTCTGAAAATATCTCCATACTAAATCATTCTTGTTTGATAGTTTGACTTGATAATATAACTTGAGTTTGGAAAACATATTGCAGAGGTTTGGAAACATTGCTCTATTGTCTTCTAGTTGGTAAGAAATCTGATGTCTATGATTTATCTCTCTTTGGATATGGAGGCTTCCCTGGAAGCCTTAAAAATATTTTCTTTCAACTTCTATTATTTGGACAATCTACCTCCTAGATAGATTCTCCATTTTTGAAAAAATATTTTTTCTCTTCTATTTTTTTCTTTGTCTCTCTGGTCTACTCCTGCTCAACTTTATTTTCCAACCCTTCTATTGGCTTTTGGACTCTGCTGTCAAATTTTTAATTTGCTAAAGCTTTCCTCCTTTTAGTATGGTTGCCAACTGTTCTGGTTAGCCTGGGACTGAGGGGGTTCCTGAGAGCAGGGACTTCCAGTGCTAAAGTTGGGGCAATCCTGGACAAACCAGGATGGCTGGTCACCATAACTGTTGATACTCTATTTTGGTAATAGCTTTTCTTTTTTCTTAGTTACAATATTGGTTTTTTTTTTTCCCCTCTGAGAATGTTAATTATTGATTCTATAAAGCTCTTTGCTTTTCACAGTAAAAATTTTTTTTCTCCCTCATTTTTAAAGTGTAGGTGTGGATTTATTTTCCATTAGATTAATGGGCCCTGTGAATCTGTAAATGAATACGTTTCCACTCCGGCAAATTTTCTTGCACAGTTTCTATGATACTGTTCTCCCCTTCAAGTTTTTATTTCTCTTGGCACCAGTTATACAGATATTCATTTCCAGAAAAATTTTGCCATTTTTCTAATGTTTCTTTTCCATTTTCTACCTTCCCCCACTTTCTTAGAGGTTCCTCCATTTTATCTTCCAACCACTCTATTGAATCTCTTATCTCTTCCATCATAGTTCTAATTCCCAAAAGCTATTTTTATTCTTCTGTCATTCATTTAAACAGCACACTATATTTGCTTCATGGACACCATATTGTCTTATCTCTCTCTGATAATACTAATTTTAATTTTTGAATTTTATTCTTGCTTCATATGCTCTGTTTTCCTCTGTGTTTATTTCAGAATAGAATATTTGTTCACGTGCCCGTTGATCCTTAGTTATCCATTTATATTAAAGGATGAGACCTTAAAATACTGGTTCAAATCACATGTGGTAGGACAGGAATTATATCAGGTGAGTCTTGCATTAGGGCTATGGTAATATAAATAGGCCTTGTGTTTTTCTTGTGTTGGACAGTTTCTGCTGAGAGGAGAGCTCATATTGCGACATTGGAAGACAATATTTAAAGAGAAAATAACATTAGAAAGTAGTGCATTAAAACAAATTGAACCACAAGACTAAAATCTCACATTAAAAAATGACCAGGATAGCCCTGGCCAGTTTGGTTCAGCAGTTAGAGCGTCGGCCCACAGACAGGAGAGTCCCCGGTTTGGTTCCTGCTAAGGGCATGTACCTTGGTTGCAGTTTGTCCCTGGCTCCAGTTGGGGTCATGTGGGTGGCAACCAGTCGATGTGTCTCTCTCACATTGATGTTTCTCTCTCTCTCCACCCCCCCTTCTCTATCTGAAGATAAATGAAAAGTGTCCCCGGGTAAGGATAAAAAAAAAAGAAAAAAAGAAAGAAATTGGACCTCTACAGCGCTCACAAAAGTTAACTTGAAATTGATTAAAGACTTAAATATAAGACCTGGTACTATACAACTCCTAGAAGAAAACATAGGAAACAAACTTCTTGACATTGGATGGGGCAATGATTTTTTTTGGACATGACACCAAAAGCATAAGCAACAAAAGCAAAAATCAAAAAGTGGGACTCTACATAAAACTGCAAAGCTCCTGCACAGCAAAAAAACAAACAGAAAACCAAATATAAAACATAATACATGAGAAATTGAAAACTACAGAGCGGCAAAAAATATTCTCAAAACATGTATCAGATGAGGAGCTAATATCTAAAATGTATAAAAACTCATACAACTCAATAACAAAACCATTAATCTGATTTAAAAAATGGACAGAGGAACTAAATAGGCATTTTTCCAAAGAAAACATCCAAGTTACCCACAGGTACATGAAAAGATGGTCAACATCACTAATCATTGGGGAAATTCAAATCATAACCACTATGAGATATCACCTCACACCTGTTAGAATGGCTGTCATCAAGAAAACAAGAGATAACAAGTGTTGCTGAAGATGTGGAGATAAGGAAACCCTTGTACACTGATAGTGGGGACGTAACTTAGTTTATCCACTATGGAAAACAATATAGAGGTTCCTCAAAAAATTGAAAACATAACTACCATATAATACAGCAATTCTACTTCTGGGCATATAGCTAAACAAAATGAAAATAGTTTGAAGAGAGATATGCACTTCCATGTTTACTGCAGCATTATTCACAATTGCTAAGATATGGAAACAACCTAAGTGTATGTCATTGGATAAATGGATAAAGAATTTGTGGCATATATACAGTGGAATATTAATCGGCCATGAGAAAGGAGGAAATGCTGCCATATGAAACAGCTTGGATGGAACTTGAGGGCATTATGTTAATTGGGATGTCAGGCAGAGAAAGACAAATATGTCTGATATTACTTATATGTGAAATCTAAAACAGGCGAACTCATAAAAACAGAGTAGAATGATGGTTACCAGAAGCTGGGGGCTGGGGGACGGTTGGGGGTGGGTGGGTAAGAGGAATTGGGAATATGCTAAGGGTTCAAATTTAGAACTAGTAGATAAGTCCTGGAGAGCTAATCTACAATAAAATGATGATAGTTAGCAATACTGTTTTATAATATTAAAATTAGCTAAGAGACTAGATCTCCATTGTTCCCGTCACAAAAAAGAAATAAAAATTAGGTAACATGATAGTTTTAGCTATCGCTAAGTTGGCAATCATATTGCAATATATAAATGTATTAAATCAACGTGTTGTATATCTTTCACAATGTTATATGCCAATTATATTTCGATAAAAAGAGCAAGCATTATGTGATGTGTTTTCTTAACTTGAACTCTAAATTGGACTCAAAGTAGAGTTTTATTCAAGATATTATATAGGATGGACCATATGCTATACGGTGTTTTCTCCTATTTCCTGCTAATGCAAGAAAACTAAAGCGAAGGAACGGCGGAGACTTTTGCTGCTTTTGTTAACATCCTGCTTAATGACTGCATCTCAATTTTATGGGTTCTTGGTCACAGGTGAATCCAGGTCCAGGTAATAAAGAAGGCTTGTTAAACAGCGCAGCGCAGCTCAACCAGTCCTTTTCATTATCTCTATTTTTAACTCACATATGGCACTCCTTTATAATCATTTTCCTCTTGTTTTTCATATTTTCAATTTCTATCACGTGTAAAAGTGAACAATGATAAATAGAAACGCAAACCGAGTTCTACAAGCACCCACTAATTTATTTGCACTCCACCTGCTAATTCAAACGGAAAATTTCTGCTGTGGGACGCTCAGCCCAACAGAGGATTCTGGGTTGTGTAGTCCACACGCCTCCTGTGAGTGGAGCACTTCCGCTCCTGGAAAGCCCAGATGTGCTACGTGCTCCGCTGGGGACACAAGGGAGTATAATCAAGTGTTACGCATGTATGGAGACATTTCGGCTACCAGAGGGCGAGGACAGGAACCCAGATTCTTTCGTGCACTCCGGAAAATTTGACTCAGGCCAAGAGTGTTGGAGCCGGCATTATCGCCTCAGGGAGGCGGGGCAGCAGCCCTTGTTCTCCTCGGGGATGCTGGGAAATGTAGTCCCTGAACCCGGCGAAGTCGGAGACACTTCCGCTGCAGGAGGTAGAGCTCGCGGCCTTCGTTTCTCTGTGGGAGGTGAGTGAGCCCCGGGACTCCGCAGCCTCTTTGAACTTTTCTCACCTGACCATGGGATCAGCCGGCCGGCCCTCTGTCCCAGCGAAGAAAAGCCGCGGTCAGAAACAGAGAGTGGGTTTGAGGGGCGGGGCTGCCGCTTGTCTTCCCTTGGCCCCGGCCGCTGCGTTTGGGGCGTTTCGAGAGTCCGGGGTTAGGGGCGGACCAGGATCTCGCAGGGTTGGAGGGTCTCCCGGGCTGCCCGCTGCTATCCTGCCTTCCCCCACCCTTTCCACACTCAGTCACTTTGTAGCCATCAACATTGAACGAGAACTTTAATCTCTCTGTGCCTCAGTTTCTTTATCTGTAGTACGAGCCTTGTACATTTGTTTTGAGAATTAATGGTATAGTACAAGTGACATGTTTTGAACAGCTCAGGCGACCGGCAAGGTGTTAGCTGTAAATATTAGTATTATAACAGTCAGAAAAATATCCTTTTCTCTGCAAGTTTCTTCAAGTGTCACTAGCTCTTTCTGATCCTCACGGAAAAGGAGGCAGTGCGTGCGCTACTTAAGACCTGTTTTTAAGATGGAGTGAGTCACAGATACCCTCTGGTTTTTCCAGGATCAGACGGGATCATAGTATCTGCCAGCCTCCATTTCTTCCCCTGCCCGACTTCTGAAAGGGGCTGTAGAAATGAGGGGAGTGAGCCCAGGGCTCTGGCAGCAGAGTGCCCACTGCGACAGAACTTGGCATTCCTCCTCCTTTTCTGTTTTGGATAGTAGAAGGTATTTTATTAACTAGCAAATGTTTCTGTTACAAAGGTGTTTAGTTATATGGTTAAATGACTGTGACAATATGTAAAACATGTACAGGGCATGAGTGCTGGTCATAATAGTTAAACATTGAGTGCTAAGTGTCATTCTGAGGGCTTTATAAAAATTAACATATTTGCCCTGGCCTGTATGGCTCAGTGGTTTCAGCATCGACCCTCGCATCTAAGAGTTGCTGATTGCATTCCTGGTCAAGGGCACATACCTGGGGCAGGATCCATCCCTGGCCCCAGTCTGGGCCTGCGGGGACAACCAATGGATGTGTCTGTCTCTCATCGATGTTTCTTTTTCTCTCCTCTTCTCTCTCTCTCTCTCCCTACCCTCTCCCTTCCTCCATCCCATCTCTCTCTCTCTCTCTCTCTCTTTTTTTTTTTTTTTATTGATTTTTAGAGAGAGAGGAAGGCAGAGGAAGAGAGAGATAGAAACATGGATGAGAGAGAACATCGATTGGACACCTCCTGCATGCCCCCCACTGGGGATCAGGCCCACAACCTGGGCATGTGCCCTGACCAGGAATCCAACCAGCGACACGGGTTGATGCTCAACCATTGAGCCACATGGGCCACATGCCTTCTCTTTAAAAATCTATGGAAAAAATATTTTCGGATGAGGATTAACAAAAAAATTAACATATTTAACCTTCACAAGGCCCTATGAAATGAATACTTTTATTACCTCTACTTTACAGATGAGGAAATGGAGAGAGAGTAGCTACTTATCCATCACAGTGCTAGTAAGAGCAGTGGGATTTGCAGCTAGGTTCCACATTTTAAAATCTCAAAATTAGAACTAGGAAACAAAATAGAAAAACAATCTGCAGAAATATTCAATCATAAGAAACTGGCTGCAGAGGAGTCACTTGGGATCAAGTTGTGGAGGTAGGTTGAAATCTTATTGTGGAGGATTTTGAAAGTAGGGTAAGTGAGTTTGGATATATTTTATAAATTTTTGAAAACATTTAATTTTATAAATGTTTTATAAATGGAACAATAATTATAGTCCATATTCGGATTATAGTATGAGTGCATACTCATTGTAGTGAATTCAGAAAACATAATAATAAAGAAAAACATTAAGAATTATCCATAATACTAAAATATAGACAATTATTAACTTTTTAATGCATTTCTGTGTAACAGTTTTAAAATGTGTGTTTATATGTTTCATGACATTGTTATGACACACTACCCCCTTAGTTCTTTTTTTATTGATTTTTTTTTTAGAGAGGAAGGGAAAGGGAGAGAGAAAAAGAAACAACAATGTGAGGGCGGAACATTGATCAGCTGCCTCCTGCATGCCCCATACTGGGAACTGACCCCACAACCCAGGGTTCGTGCTCTGACAGGGAATCAAACCAATAACCTTTTGATGCACAGTACAACACCCAGCCAACTGAGCCACCCCAGCCAGAGCAATCCCCTTAACTCTTTACTGTGGAAATTTCCAAAAATACTCAAAGTATAGTATAATGAACTTTCTATATAACAGTTACTCTGCTTCAATCCTTGTTAATCTTGTTGCTTTTTCTTCTTCCCATATACACATTTTTCCCCTTGAGTGTTTTAAAGCAAAGCCCAATGTTAAGTATGATAAATTAATTATCATAAATTATTTATATATGATGACTGGTGGAGGAGAGATTGTATTAGTTTACTAGAGCTGCTGTAACAAAATACCACATTCTGGGTGGCTTACACAACAGAAATTTATTTTCTCACAGTTTTGGAACTGGAAGTCCAGGATCAAGATGTCAGCAGGTTTAGTTTCTTTTGAGACCTCTTCCCTTGTCTTACACATGGCCACCTTCTTACTATGCTCTCACATGATCTTTCTTTTGTGTGTTTGTATGCCCCTCCTGTTCCTCTGTGTACCCAGATCTCCTCTTATAAGGACATCAGTCAAATTGGACTAGGTCCCACCCTAATGTTCTCATTTTAACTTAATTACCTCTTTAAATGCCGTCTCCAAATACAATCACATTCTGAGGTACTGGGGGTTAGGGCTTCAAGAGATGAGTTTTGGGGGCACTCAATCCATGATAGAGATGTTAATAGCAACTCTAAGGTTTCTACTCTTAGCTACTAGGAGAATGTTGCTTATGTGAGAAAGTTAGAAAGACTTGCCATTAGGGAAGGAAGATGATGCATTTTCTTTGGTCCTTAGGAGTTACTCTTGCCACTGGCATATAACAATCGGTTTCTTCTCTCTCTCTCCTATTAGGCTGCAGGACCCTCTGTTTCATGGACCTTGTCATATTCTTCTCAGAGTACCCAGCATGAGGTCGGCAGGGAGTAAGTATGATTCATGTAGCTGTCCAAAAGGGCGCTACAGCCTGGGATTAGAGAACGGAAAAGAAAGATAATCAATATCCACATTTCTTGTCTTTTATTTGACTTTTGGTGGGCTGTAGAATCCATCAACTTTCTCAGAGTAGTTATTTATTTATTTATTTATTGTATTCCTTACCAGAGGATACTTTTGTATTTATCATCAGATAGAGTGGGAGGGAGAGGGAGAGAGAGAAACATCAATGTGATAGAGCCACATCGACTGGTTGCCTCCTGTACGACCCAACCAGGGCCGGGGACAAACCGCAACCAAGGTAGACGTGCGGAATCGAACCCACGACTCATTGGTCTGCAGGCCGATGCTCTAACCACTAAGCCAAACAGGCCAGGGCTCTCAGAGTATTTAAAAGTTGATGTACACTTATGTACAATATTGTCATGGTGTAAAAATTTCCTTAGAGACAAATCAGTTTAGTGTTCAATTATTTGTTTATTGCATGAGGATCATAATGGAGATGATGAGAATAGTTTACATATATTGCACACCTCTTATGTCTCAGAGAATTTTCATTGCTTTCCATGTACTAACTTATTTAATTTTTTATAATAGTGCTATTATTAGTCTCATATAGAAACGAAGACGTAGGCACAGACAATTGAATAAATGACCAGAAGACACAGTCAGCAAGAAACAGAGCCAGCCCTAGTGTTCTGTGTGCAATAACACTGGGCAAGTTACTTAACTTTTCTGTGCCTCCATTTTCTTACCTGCCAAGAAGGGGGTAATAGCAATACCCACCTCCTGAATATTTTGGGAAAATGAAATAAGAGATAATATGTAGAGTCTTGAAATAGTGCCTGGCACATAGTAAATCCTCTATGTATTACAGACTGGAATTGTCCTTTGTCTGTTACAGATGAGTATAGAACATGAAAAATGTAGCAAATTAATGAAAGGGCAAAAAGATATTTGAAGGTATTCTTTTCTCACCCGTCTTCTGTGATACTTCAGTTCTATCATACAGTTGAACAAAAATGAATAGCTTCTGTAATAACCATTGTTTAGACCTAAAACTAATTTGCTGCCTTTTGAATTTAGAGAGTCCTGGGGGATGATTATATGGTTTCTACAACCTTAAAAAGGTGTAACTATGTGTTATTTAATATAGTAACCATTAGCCACATGTGACTGTTGAGCACTTGAAATGTGGCTAGTGCTAATGAAGGCACACAATGGATTTCAAAGACTTAGTATGAAAAAAAGAATGGAAACTATCTCAGTAAATTTTATATTGATTACAAGTTGAAGTGGTAATATTTCAGATATATTGGGTTCAATAAAATGTATTGTTAAAATTAAGCTGACTTCTTTTTATTGAATTTATTAGGGTGACATAGTTTAATAAAATTATATAGGTTTCAGGTGTACAGTTCTATATACATGATCTGTATATTGTTTTGTGTGTTCACCACCCCAAGTCAGTGTGTCTACTAGAAACATTTAAATTACATAGGTAGACCCTGGCCGGTTTGGCTCAGCGGTTAGAGCGTCGGCCCATGATCCAGAGAGACCCTGGTTTGGTTCCTGCTAAGGGCATGTAGTTCGGTTGCAGTTTGTCCCTGGCCCCGGTTGGGGTTGTATGGGTGGTGACCAGTTGATGTGTCTCTCTTACATCGATGTTTCTCTCTCTCTCTTCCTCCCGCTCTCCCTCCCACTCTGTCTGAAGATAAATGCAAAAATGTCCTCAGATAAGGATAAAAAATAAACAAACAAATAAATAAAATTACCTAGGTAGTTTGTGTTATATTTCTGTTGGGACAGCCCTGGTCTAAATGGAAGCCTCCCTTTTCACTCTGAAGATTTGCCTCCTGGGGCGTTTACAAGTCTCTCTTGCCTCTTCGACTTCCAGGGGCATCTTACAATGGAGAGAAGCAGATAATCAGGAGGCCTGGGCGGCAGGCCTAGCCCTGCCCCCAGCTCCTTGGGTGTCCTTGAATAGTTCAGATAAGTCCTTGAGAGATAGAATAAAATAATGTGTGGTTCTCAAACTTTGATCATATCAGACTCTCTTGGGGAACTTGGTAAAAAATATAAAGACTGAGGCCTTATACTATTTCAGTGAGTTTGGTTCTATTAGCTTTATGGGTGATGCTGATGCTGTTCTGGTCACCTCCTATTCATCCTGTTTAGGAAGGAAGATAATTATTGTCTCAATCTCTAGAATCGTTATGAAGATCAAATGCCATACTACGTATAAAGCATTAAGGTAGATGGTGTCTTGGTAGGTAGTAAGTCAGCTGCTATAAATGTCAGCTACTGTAATTATTATTGGGAGCTTTTTGTGAACAGCCCAGGTTTCCTATGGGTAAAATTAGTTGTTTAGAGTTAAACTAAAAATTATTATTTCTCTCCAAAAGAAACCAAGTTGAGGGCATTCTATTTAACACATGTGTGATCTCAATTCCAGAGGACCCTGGTCACTACTGTGCTACTTGGCATGTGTAGCATAAGTGCTGGATTCCTCATCATTACACTGAGAGCAAGTTGAGATGGGGTTATTGCATCTCTCTTAATAAGGTTTCCATACGTGTTCATTGAATTAATAAACTTATTTATGCAATGAAAAATTAGTAAGTTAGCCTGTCTAGTGCTAATTATGCAGGCAATGAAATACTTGTTCTTGCTCTTTTGATGAACACATTCTGTGGATTTTGCAACAGGATTCCATGTAGGCACTGACTTTGAAAAATAGAAAGCACCTTCCTAAAATGGTATTTTTAAAAATCCAAAGGCTCTTTTCCTTCCAAAGGTGACCTTGATTTTGCCCAAGGACAGCACATATTATGAAAGACCTAGAGGAAAACTTAGAAATGGAACCCCTGCTCTCCAAATCCTCACAACTGGGATCACTGTCAGATTTTACAACTCAGAGACCTTAGACTAATTAATCTAGTCTCTCCATGCGCCGCTGCCTGGTGGCAGGTTCACTCATCAGGACCCTGACACTGGTTCTGTGTCTCTGCGGAGTAGTTACTATATTACAGGTGCTGTTTTTGGTGCTTGGGCCATAACGCTGAGTAAGCAATCACAAGGGAGGTAGTTGATTTACTAATTAGCTCCTTTCTCCTCAGAAGTGATGGAAAGGTCTCCCTGCAAAACACTCTTACTGAGCAAAAGTCACTGGGCAAATACATCGTCAAAGCAAAGTGAGTTACAAATTCCAAGGGTATTTCTTCCAAGATTGGGGAGATTTACATTGCCCTTTTCCATACTAGGGTTTTATATCTGAAATCATATGATTAATAATAATTATTTCATAAATAATTAAGCAGTAACTAATGATAATCTCTTAACCTGGGCATTTTATTCTTAATTTCCACCCCCATGCTCCTAGAATCAGATTCTTTCCCTAAGAGCTACAAGGAGAACTTGTATTAGGGTCGCTGTGCAGGGGCTCTTGGAGGAAGGGTGAGTGGTATCTGGTCCCCAGCCCACACTCTGTGTTCGGCTACAACCAGCGCAGGTTAGGAGTTTGTTCCTTGACTCTTTCATGTAAAGCAGCCATATAGGAAACTTCTGTTGAATGTTTAAGCTACCAGACACCATTCCAAATGTTTTATGTGTAGTCACTTAGATGGACTGATACCTTCCTATGCAGTTTTATAGGGCAGTGGTTATTATTATCCCCAATATATAGATTGAACATTGAAACACAAAGTACTAGCAAGTTGGAGATGCCAGTATTCAAAGTCTGAACCCAGAGCCTACACCCTTCACAGCTCTGTTCTCTTCTCCCTCAAGCAGCTTCTTTGGTTTCAGGTCCTCTCCCTATTTCTGTCTGTCGTTTATCCCTAGCTCTCAAGCCCTTATTTCTTTTTCTGTGAGCCCTTAAACTCCCATCTGCTTATTTTTGTCTTCAGAGGCAACCGAGAGACAAGATCTAGAATACTGGTTCTGATATGGGAGCAGGATTCAGGGTCCACCCCTGCCTCTTGACCTCACCAAGCCTCAGCTTCCTTATCTGTGAAATGGGAACAATGGTCATTGTCATCCTTTATTGAGAACTTCCTAAAATGCCAGGTACTATGCCAAGGACATTGCATGAGTTAGCTCATTAATTCCCCACAATAATCCTGTGCCTAACATTCTGTTATCTCCTTATCACAGCTGAGAATTGGAACAGAGGTATCGGCGATTGGACCAAAGTCACACGACTGGTACAACTGTAGCTTCTTCACAGGTACGTGGTGGGTACCGTAATGAAACAATGCATGCCAGATGCTTCTCTAACATGTGCTTAGTGCTTATTTCATGTTAAACATTGCCATTTTTGTTGTTTGTATTATTACTATGATCACTGTAGCATGTTCATTTAAATGACATATTGAGCCTGGCTGGTGTGGCTCAGTGGTTGAGTGTCGACCCATGCACCACGAGGTTGCCAGTTTGATTCCTGGTCGGGGCACATGCCCAGGTTGTGGGCCAAATCCCCAGTGTGGGGCATGCAGGAGGTGGCTAGTTGATGTTGTCTCTCATTGATGTTTCTATCTCTTGCTCCCTCTCCCTTCCTCTCTCTCTAAAATCAATAAAAAGGGGAAAAAATTTAAAAAGTAAATGACATATTGATTACCTAGCTTATAGTTAAATAAATTCTTCAGAGTCACAGGTTTTTCATTTCCCCTTATCTCCATGATAGTCTTTTGTTTATTTTTAGAGAGAGTGTAAGGGAAAGAGAGAGAGAGAGAGAGAAACATCAACATGAGAGCGAAATATTGATTAGCTGCCTCCTGCATGCCCTGCACTGAGGACTGACCTTGCAACCCGGGCATGTGCTCTGACTGGAAATCAAACTGGCAACCTTTCTGTGCACAGAATGACACCCAGCCAACTGAGCCACAGCAGCCAGGGTACCATGATAGTCTTTTAAAGGCCCTACTGTTAACAAAGTAAATTTAACAAGGCCTTAATAGCTTTTTTTCTTTTTAGTATTCTCACCTGAGGATTTTTTTTTAATTGATTTTAAAGAGAGAGAGAGAGAAAGAAACATCAATCATTTGCCTCCCATATGCACCACAATCAGGGATCAAACTCATAATCTAGGTATGTGCCCTGACCAGAAATTGAACAAGCACCCTTTTGGTATACAGATGACACTTCAACTAACCGAGCCACGCAGCCAGGGCAGGACTTCATAGCTTTTTAAAAACAGTCATCTGTGTAGTCAAATTCATAGAGAAAGAATAGTGTTTAGCAGGAGCTGAGGGAAGGAGTGGTGGAGAGTTATTGTTTAATGGGTACAGAGTTTCAGTTTGGGAAGGAAGATTTTCTGGAGATGGATGGTGGTGATGGTTGCACAATAAGATGAATGCACTTAATGAACTCTTCACCTAAAATGGTTAAAATGGTAAATTTTCTTATGTATATTTTATACAGGAAAAAAAATGGTCCAATCTTAATTTTTTTTTTTGCAAAGATGTCAAATTAAGTATGAGAAACCAAGAGAGAATAACTTATTTCAGAGGTCATATGAAAATCATATGATAGAACAACAACCTCTGAAGACTCCATTGCTAGGAACCACTAATGAGGACTGGGTTTTAAAAGTTAGTGAATATTACTTGATTTTCTGCTGCTACTAATGAGGGACCCTGAAAGTGTTCTTTGAGCTTTCTGCCTACTCACTTTGTTCTGACAGCAGTCCTATGCAATAGGCACTGTTAATCCCTCCATTTTACAGATGAAAGAATTAAGGCATGAAGATTTTAATAATTTGCCTAAGAGTTCACAGTTAATAAGTAGCAGTGCCATTTGGCCCCAGGGATTACTCTCTTAACCTGGGTACTTTATTCTCAATTTTCACTCTCTGCAGAATCAGAATTATACCCTGAGGGCTGCAGGAACTTGTATTAGGGCCATGTGTGGTTGGGCGGGTTGTCTGCTGTGGGCGGGTTGTCTGCTGTGTGGGGCCTCTTGGCTGAAGGGATGGGTGGTGTCTGGAACCCAGTCTGCACTCTACTCATCCAGCCACCCCGAGGAAGGGGCACCATTGCTTTTACTGGTACCAGGCTCAGTGGGTATGTGTTCACAGGGTGCGTGCAAGGCGTTCACATAAAACAACCATATGGGTTAGTGACATCCTTGGCCAGAACCTAATGTTTTTTTTCTCTTTCCCCCTTGTGCCTTCCCAAGACTCAGCCCTTCCCAGAAGAAGGACAAAATGACCAAGTTCAAGGTGAGTTGGGCTTGCCTCTTCTAGGTTTTAAATTGTTATCCTATTTCTCAATGATTAGACACATCCTTTTCTTGGGAAGGATTAAAGAGAACAGTAGGTGCCCTGGCCGGTTTTGCTCAGTGGTTAGAGCGTTGACCTGCGAACCAGAGAGTCCCGGGTTTGCTTCCCGCTAAGGGGCATGTACCTCGGTTGCAGTTTGTCCCTGGCCCTGGTTGGGGTCGTGTGGGTGGCAACCACTCGATCTGTCTCTCTCACATTGATGTTTCTCTCTCTCTCTCTTCCTCCTTCTCTCCCTCCCACTCTATCTAAAAAAAACAAACAAAACAAAACTTGAGGGCTGCTACTGGCATCTGGTGCGTAGAAAGTAGGGATTCTGCTAAACATCATACAATGCACAGGTCAGCCCCCACATTGAACTAATTATCTGGCCCAGGATGTCAGTAGTGTCAAGGATGAAAAATCATGCTGTATATAAAGCTATTCAAGACTAATAGAAAATAAAGGCATTTAAACATTGGGAGAAAAAAAAAGACTAATAGCAAAATGTGGGTAAAAATATTTATAATACATACGCTAAAGAAACAACGCTTAAAATCTCTAATAGGAATTTTACAGAGTCAGAAGATTAAAAAAAAAAAAAAAAATTGGCATACAAGTAAAGAATATTAACAGACAGGTACTAAAGAAAAAGTCAAGCCTGGCCAGTGTGGCTCAGTGGATTGAGCATCGTCCCATGGACTGAGAGGTCCTGGTTCAAATCCTGGTCAGGGTGCATGCCCAGGGTTGTGGGCTTGATCCCCAGTAAGGGGTGTGCAGGAGGCAGCTGATTGGTGTTTCTCTCTGACATCGATGTTTCTCTCTCTCTCTCTCTCTCTCTCCCTATCCCTTTCTCTAAAAAAAATCAATAAAAATATCTTTTTTTAAAGTCAAGGTGGTCAGTAAATATATGAAAATATGATGAGCTTATTAATTACTAAATAAGTGCAAGTAACTGAAATAAGTTGTTTTATTGATCAGATTACCTCGGATTTTAAAACATTAGTTGGCTCTGGCAGGTAACTCAGTTGGCTCAAGCATTGCCCCGATATGCCAAGGGTGCAGGTTTGATCCCCAGTCAGGGCACGTACAAGACTCAACCAATCAATGCATAAAAAAGTGGGACAACAAATCGATGCTTCTCTCTCTCAAATCAATAAAATAATAATAAAAAATAAAAACATTGGTTGTATTCAGTGTCATGTATTGTATGGAGAATCAGGAATGCTTAAATTCTGTTGAGGGAAGGATAAAAGAGGGGAACAGTTGAAAATTCGCCATTTTACATAATAATTTTGAAGTTGCATATTCTTTGATGTAATTCCACTTCTTGGAACTTATTCAAAGAAAATAATTAGATGGGGAGTTAATATACATGTAAATAGTTGTTTTACTTCAGCATTTATTATGAAAAGAAAAATCTAAAACAGAATATTTACTATTTGGAATATTTAACTATATTACAGTAAAATTGACCCGGGTCTCTTAGAATCTGGAACCACTTCATGCACATTCTTTACACTTTTCTCAGAGCTGCCTCTGTCCCAGTGAAGGTTGGTTGTGAGGTTGACATTACATGTTTTTGGTGTTGTAGGAGGGGGTGACGTTCAAGGATGTGGCTGTGGTCTTCACTGAGGAGGAGCTGGGGCTGCTGGACCTGTCCCAGAGGAAGCTGTACCGAGACGTGATGCTGGAGAACTTCCGGAACCTGGTCTCAGTGGGTGAGGACAGGCGCTCTGTGACTGAACTGGAGCCCACTGCGGTGTTTGTGTCCTTGGATGTTGGGGTCTTCAGAGCTCTTCAACTGGTTGCCAGTTTTCTAAGTAGAGTGAGATCCAGCGATGGAATTTTTCTGGTCTTCCTCCCCCAGCAGAAGTGTGTTTTTTAAATGAACTGTAAATTGGCAGCATGACTTTTATGTTCTGGGCCTTTCTCATATAGTGATCATGTCCAATTAGTGGGTCATGACACCTATCTAGGAAATGGTACCAGCATTTTTTAATGAAATAAAATAGGGTGGAAAGTATCAGAGCCCCTGGCAATAACTGCACATGGTAGTGAAATCTGCAGAATAGGATGAGAAATGGTGGAGAGGGTGTGATGAAAGTAAGACATTTTTAAAAACATTTTAACAGTTTTATTGAGATGCCATTTACATACACATACTCTACCATACCATACAATTTACCCATTTAAAGTATACAGCTCAATAGTTTTTAGTATATTTTAAAAAAGACATTTTCCCCCAATAATTTACACTTATGTCTACATATTCTGGGGTTTTTGCATAAAATGTGTTTTCTCTGATGGGTCATAATTAATAGTTTGGAAAACACTAATTTTGATGTCCTGAAGACGATTTGGTGAGAAATCACATTTAAAAAAAATAATTTTGGCCTCTGATATATTCATTTTAAATGTTTGTCCCTTGCCTTTTCATAGGGCATCAGTCCTTCACAGCAGGTGACATCCCCCAGTCAGAGAGAGAAGAAAAGCTTTGGATGATGAGGAGAGCAACCCAGAGCCACAGCTCCTCAGGTGAGAGCCGTGCGACTCAGTCTGTCCTACCTCTTGTCACCTCCACCACGGTGACGCTGCTCTAGGTCGGTGCTGCCTGTGGATCACTGCAGCAGTCTTGGTACCACTCTCACTCTTCTGTTTTGCTCTTTGACAATGAATTCTCTACTCGAACTGATTTTGTGAGTGTTTGTCAGAGCTTGCCCTCTGCTCAAAACTTCCATTAGCTTCTTAATTGATTCAGAGTAAAATCCAGGTACTTAAAGTGGCTTATAATGTTCCACATGGCTGCTGCCCCTCTCCCCCATCCCTCTAAATGTGACCTGTCCTTTCCCCCTTGTCAGTCTCTTCCATCCAGTTTTGCCTCTTTGCTGTGACAAGCACACTCCCGCCTCCTCACCCTCTCTTGTTCTATCAGGAGCACTGTTTCCCTCTGTCATTCTCTTGGCCCCGCCCTTACTTCACATAGGGCTTTTTTCAAATGTTAACCTCATAAGAGCCTCCCATGAGTCCTCTGTTCATAATACCTTCTTCTTCTTCCACTTGCTTCCCTTATTCTCTCTTAATTGGTATCTAAGCATTGATCACCCCTTACCATCAGCCCAGTACCTCAATATTGGAGTAAACCTCTAATAAAATAACACAAAGGAAAGGTTTTCAAACACTGCCTGGGGACATCTGTCTGTAAGGGTTTCACTGGACGTTTTGAGCATGTTGGTCAGACATGCATGCAGTAGGCAGAAGAGGAGGCTTTTAGTAAGATGCAGCTTTGTCTTTGGAAAAAATACTCTAGGAAAGTATTTTTCTTTTTTCCAAAACAGGTTTGTAAACATTGTATTTGTTGTGCTGTGTATAAACCTTTTATGCTAAATAACTGTAAAACTACCTTCTTCTCAAAGATGTTTCTTGTATTTCTGAGGCCTCTTCTGTATGTTCTGTATACAATGAAACCATTTTGAAAAGCAGAAACTTAAGCAATCCAAACCTAATGGCTCATTAAAGCTTTTCCCTGTTTTTATTTAAAAAATCATAGTGTTCTGCTTTTGTATAAAGTTTGTACAGCCAGCAATGTAAAAGACTGACACATTTTTAAAAACAAAAATGAAGTAGAAACTCAGAATCCTTTTGATTCAGTGTGCTTATGTTTTTCACAAAGAGGGAAAGAGTAATGCAAGTCTCAGAATTTGGGGATGGTTGGTGTGCCTCACTTCGTTTTACCTTTTGACTGTCTGCCTATATGCCACTGACGATGAAACTGAGCTGTTTGTGCTGCCACCACTGCCACAGCCACTTGGTGCTCCAGGAATCGCAGCTGCAGCGGCCTGTGACTGCACAGAACTTCCTACTCCACTGAGAGCAGCATGCTGAGCAGATAAGGCCTGTTCTTGACTGGATGAGCCTTGTTCAGAACCCGGCTCCACCTGCTGTTGAGGGCTAGACGTTGTAGGTTGCTGCGGGTGTTGAGTTGTCTAGGAAGTATTTTTATTGATCTACAGCCACCAAATTTCTAACTTATAGCTCACTTATGAAACTTAGTACAATTCCTAAATGTGTCTTGTTAGTGAGTAGAGAATGGGAGCCTCATGGATCACCTCTTGGTTTCTAGAGTCATGTAATTCAGAGAACATGATACATGATAATAAAAATAGAACTTTCTGCCCTGGCCGGTTTGGCTCAGCGGTTAGAGAGTCGGCCTGCGGTCCTGAGAGACCCGGGTTCGGTTCCCGCTAGGGGCACGTACCTCGGTTGCAGTTTGTCCCCGGCCCTGGTCGGTTGTGCGGGTGGCAGCCACTCGATGTGTCCCTTCACATCGATGTTTCTCTCTCTCTCTCTCTGTTCCTCTCTCTCCCTCCCACTCTACCTGAACAAAGAATGGAAAAATGTCCTCGGGTGAGGATAAAAAAAAAAATTAAAAAAAAAAAAAAAAAAAAATAGAACTTTCTCCTGGTTCAGTGAAGCCTTAAGGTATAGGCCTAAGTTTATAACCTTGATATTTCTGAACAAAGCATTCACATGCCCATCTCCAAATTCTCTTTATTCTTTTAGGAGACAAGAATCTAAATAACATGGGGATTATTCAAGAAGTTGGATTAAGGCACCTGCCACATGAAGAGTTTTTCTGCTCACAGATCTGGCAACAGGTTACCAAGGATTTAACCAGATATCAAGATTCCATAGTAAATATTCAAGGAACTGGCTCTCAGTTGGAAAAACAAGGTGATACACTTTGTAAATATGAGGGATTTGGTAAAGGCTTTAATCAGAGTTCACATCTTCAGGTTCACCACAGAGTCCAACCCTACAAAGGAGAGGAGTGTGAGAAACCTTTCATTCAGGACTCTTGTCTTCAAATTAATAAGACAGCCCGTGCAGGAGAGAAGCCCTATAAATGTGAAAAATGTGAAAATACTTTCCGTCGGTTTTCAAGTCTTCAAGCCCATCAGAGAGTCCACAGTAGAGAGGAATCGTACAAATATGATATGTCATGTAAGAGTTATAGTCAGAGGTCATATCTTCGTCATCATCAGAGAGTTCCTGCAGGAGAAAATCCACACAGATTTGAGGAATGTGGGAGAAATGTAGGGAAAAGCTCACATTATCAGACTTCTCTTATAACCCACACATTAGAGAAACCCTATAAATGTGAAGAGTGTGGGGTGGGCTTCAATCAGAGCTCATATCTTCAAGTCCATCAGAGAGTTCACATGGGAAAGAAACCTTATAAATGTGAAGAGTGTGGGAAGGGCTTCAGTTGGCGTTCACGACTACAGGCTCATCAGCGAATCCACACTGGTGAGAAACCATACAAATGTGATGCATGTGGCAAGGGCTTTAGCTATAGCTCACACCTTAACATTCATTGTAGAATCCACACAGGAGAGAAACCCTATAAATGTGAGGAGTGTGGGAAAGGCTTCAGTGTGGGCTCACACCTTCAAGCCCATCAGATAAGCCACACTGGAGAGAAACCGTACAAATGTGAGGAGTGTGGGAAGGGTTTCTGTCGGGCCTCAAATCTTCTGGACCATCAAAGAGGCCATACCGGTGAGAAACCGTATCAGTGTGATGCATGTGGGAAAGGCTTCAGTCGTAGCTCAGACTTTAACATTCATTTTAGAGTCCATACAGGAGAGAAACCCTATAAATGTGAGGAGTGTGGGAAGGGCTTCAGTCAGGCCTCAAATCTTCTGGCCCATCAAAGAGGCCACACTGGGGAAAAACCATACAAATGTGGTACATGCGGGAAGGGCTTCAGTCGGAGTTCAGATCTGAACGTTCATTGCAGAATCCACACAGGAGAGAAACCCTATAAATGTGAGAAGTGTGGGAAGGCCTTCAGTCAGTTCTCAAGTCTTCAAGTGCATCAAAGGGTCCACACGGGAGAGAAACCATATCAGTGTGCAGAGTGCGGGAAGGGCTTCAGTGTGGGTTCACAGCTTCAGGCCCATCAGAGGTGTCACACTGGAGAGAAACCATACCAATGTGAGGAATGTGGGAAGGGCTTCTGTCGAGCTTCAAATTTTCTGGCTCATCGTGGAGTCCACACGGGAGAGAAACCATACCGATGTGATGTGTGCGATAAGCGCTTCAGACAGAGATCATACCTTCAAGCCCACCAGAGGGTTCATACCGGAGAGAAACCATATAAATGTGAGGAATGTGGTAAGGTCTTCAGTTGGAGCTCATACCTTCAAGCCCATCAGAGAGTTCACACTGGAGAAAAACCGTACAAATGTCAGGAGTGTGGGAAGGGCTTCAGTTGGAGCTCAAGTCTTATAATTCATCAGCGAGTTCATGCTGATGATGAGGGTGATAAGGACTTTCCCTCATCAGAGAACTCATACAGGAAAGAAGCTCGATAAAATAACGTGTTTTAATACCTCAAAATGGATGCTGAAATAGTCCAGTTATGAAAACAAAACATTCATTTTATGGAAGCGTCAGTATTTCAGCCAAAGCTTGATATGTCACAGTGGTTGGGTGACTACACATCAGAGAAGCCTCGTGAAAGTGGAGACAGTACTTCATGCAGAACCTTGACATTTAGTAGCTATTACACGGAAGAGAGGCTTAGGAAGGATGAGTGTGGTCTGAAGTTAGCCAACAGCACTAAGTGAAATGCCAGAAACTATTCCCCTAGAAGTGTGGAGAGGGTAGCGACTTTGTTGACTGCCAAACCTACTCTGCCTTTTCAGTGCCTAACACATTGTAGGTGTTCAGTAATTGTTAAATGAGTAAAGGAACAGCCATATTTGAAATTTTCATTCAGTTCATCTCTAAATATTTCTTTTAAATTGTACTTGGAAGAGGAATTCTGCAGACTTGGAGGACATTTAAATTAGACACACGGGCACATTTACCAACCTGCAAGTCCTGTGAACTAGTGTATCAAACTGAGGGTTGAAACCCATTAGTGGGTCCAGAAATCCATTCAGCTGGTTGTGACCAGCACTTTTGTATGCTAACAATTGAGGTAAAATTTGCATGCAGCAATGTGCATAAATCTTATGTTTACAGTTTCATGACTTTTAACAAAGGTGTACATGTGTGTAATCACCAAAACCAATGTATACAATATTTCTATTAAACCAGTATATTTCTTTGTGTACATTTCCAGGAAATCCGATCTTCAGTGGCAACAAGTATTATGATTTCTGTGCCATAGATTAATTAGGTCTGTTTGAGCTTCATACGGGTAATTAGGTCTGTTCTTGAGTTTCATATGGGTTCAATATATACTCTTGTGTCTGTATTCTCTTGATCAAATATATGATCATCTCAATAGATTCAGAGAAAATATTTGACAGAATTTAACATAGCTTCATAATAAATATTCCTCACTGAGATAAAAGGCATCTGAAAATCTTAAAAGCTAACATTCATTTTTTAATATAAGGAATAATTTATATACAGTAAGATGGAATCTTTGATGTATCATTTTGTATTTTGGCAAAAGCTTATTGTCATATTACCACTACAATCAAGGCATTTAACAGTTCCAGTATCTCCACCCAAAAATTCCTGTGTACTCTTGTAGTCAGCCTTTCTTCCCACCCCGACATTCTTAGCAACCGCTGACCTGTTTTTTGTCTGTGTAGCTTACCATTTCTAGAATGTCATATAAATGGAATCATACTATAACCTTTGAGGTCTGGCTTCTTTCACTTCATAATGCTTCTGAGAATCATCATTCTTGATGTATGTATTAGTCATTACCTTTATTGCTGAGTGGTATAATATGGATATACCATATTTTGTTTATCCACTTATGACTTCAAGGACATTTGGGTTTCCAGTTTTAGTAAATAGTGAAGAAAGCAGCTATAAACATTCACGTACAGGTTTGTGTGTCAACATAAGTTTTATTTGTCTTAGTAAACACTTAAAAGTGGGATTGCTGGGTTGTAAGGAAGAGTATGTTTATTAAAAACTGACAAACTTTTCTAAAATGGATATACCATTTTGCATTTCCACCATGAGTGCGTATCAGTTTTATTTTTGTTTTAGCATTTCAGTAGGTTTATAGTGGTATTTCATTTTGGTTTTATGTTACATTTTTCTAACTACTATGATGAGTGTCTTTATACATGAATGTTTACTATCCATGTACCCAACTTTCTTTTGTGAGTTCTTTTCTTGTTCTTGATTTTTTTTAGAGTTCTTTATATGTTCTGGATACATGTCCTGTGTCAGTTGTGTGTTTTAAAAATTATATCCCTATGTGTGAATTGTGTTTTTATTGACTATTTTTCATATATATAATTTTAAAAAAATTTTTATGAAGTTTAATTTTTATCTTCCGTGAATTGTGCTTTCAATTTTAGATATGAGAACCCTGCCTAATCCAAGGTGATAAAGTTATTTTTCCTTTTTAAAAAATTAAATTTATTGGGGTGACATTGGTTAGTAACATATAAGTTTATCTCCTTTTTAATATCTAAACATTTTATGGTTTCACTCCTGGCTGGTGTGGTTCATTTGGTTGAGCGTCGTCCTGTGCACCAAGAGGTTGCCGGTTCAATTCCCAGTCAGGGTACATGCCCAGGTTGCAGGAACAGTTCCCAGTCAAGGTGTGTGTGAGAGGCAACTGATCGATGTTTCTCTTTCACATTGATGATTCTCTCTCCCTCTCTCTCCCTCTCTCTCTAAAAATAAAATCAATAAAAATTTTATGGCTTCAGATTTTACATTTAGGTCTATGATCCATGTGAGTTCATCTTTATAAAACATGAGGTCAAGGTCCATTTTTTTTGTACATGAACATACAATTAAGTATCTTTTTACCATCAATTTGCTGTTGCACCTTTGTGAAAAACCCTTTGACCATATGTGTGTGGGTCTTTCTGATCTATGTGTCTATCATTTTGTCACATGTAGCTTACAGTGTCTTGGAACCAGAGAGTACGAGTCTGCCAACTACATCCTTTCAAAACTATTTTGGCTATTCTTATTTGTTTGCTTTTTTATAATATTTAGAATTTGCTTTGTGATTTTTAAAAATAAACCCTTACTGGGCATTTTATTGGGATTGCATTGAATTTGATATCTTAGCAATAGTGAATGTTCTAAACCATAGACACACTATATCTGCCTAGTTGTTTAGGATTCCTTTGAGTTCTTTCATCAGTAACTTACAGTTTTCAGCATATACCTACATTTCTGGTGCCAAATTAAATAGTACTTATTTTTTTTTATTTTAATTTTCAATTGTTCATTGCTAGTATATAGAAATACAGTGGCTTGTTTTATGTTGACCTTGTATCCTACAATGTTGCCAAATTTGCATATTAGTTAAAGTAGCTGTTATGTAGATTCCTTGTATTTTTCTGTATAGACAATTATGTCATCTATAAAAACTTTCATTTTCCCCCTGTTAATTGATATGTATATTATAGCAAATCCACTGTGATGTGAAGACCCTCCCTCACACCTTCCAAGGTTAGGTTTGGTATGATCAAAGGTGGGAAGAGGGGATGGCTGTCCAGGAGAAGGTCCAGAACAGAGAGAGTGGTCAGTGTTCAGGCATTTTATAGGGACGCTTAAAAGAGGTGGTGGAAGGGTACATGCACTTGTCAGGTGGTAGGTGAACATTATCAGGATAGTAAAGGGGAGGCAGTGGATATAGACCAGATGATGCTTTTGGTTTCTGGCACTAAATCAAACATCTAAGTTTCTTTTCTTTGATCTTCAAAATTGACTCCTGACATTTGGGCTAGCAAGGTAAACTCCAGGTTTTCCTATAAATAAACTATTTGAAAGAAACCACATTTGCAAAGTTGACCCAAAGCAATTATGATAGCTTCCTGAAAGGCAATGTGGGGCCAGATAATGTTAATTCAACCAGCAAAAGGATCCAGAAGGAGACATCAGTGGGGATTCAGGAAGTCTCTTGGAATATCTTAGTAATTAAATGAAATCATAGACTACTTTGGTTTATCTGTTGAATTTTTCTGGAGTCTTTTACTGTATTATTGACCCACCTGCAGACAGAGGTTTCCTTCAAGGGTCCACCTCAGGATGCCATATTTAAAATCATTAGAATTGACCAGTTAAATGTTAAATTATTATTATTATCATCATCATCATTATTATTTTTAATCTTCACCCAAGGACATTTTTTCATTTTTTGTTCAGATAGAGCGGGAGGGGGAGAGAGAGAAAGAGAAACATCAACGTGAAAGGTACACATCGAGTGGCTGCCACCCACACGACCCAACCAGGGCCAGGGACAAACCACAACCGAGGTACGTGCCCTTAGCAGGAACCGAACCCGGGTCTCTCTGGACCGCAGGCCGACGCTCCAACCGCTGAGCCAAACCGGCCAGGGCAAATGTTAAATTATTGAATAGGATTCAGCCACAGGTTTACTCGGACAATTTACAAAGACTTTACAAGTAATCTTTGATCCCACGAATTACACGTGGCTCTGTACACAAAGAGCATGAAAACAAGTCATAAACTAACATTTTTTAATCATGTGTAAGATCTCTTGTAATATGATTGCAAAATACTTATATATTAATATCATTAATAAATATTTATCAAGTAATTATTTGCCAGGCATTGGACTGTGTGTCTAACATGCAATCAATATTCATTCCTTTAATGTAACCTTGTTGGTCTCCCTATTTTCATATTTAAAAGTAAAGTCTTCAAGAGGTTGAGTGGCCTGAGATCAGAAAGCTGTGGCAAAGATAGATTTGATGCCCGGCTTATGTGGCTCAGTGGTTGAGCATTGACCCATGTACCAAGAAGTCGCCAGTTCGATTCCCAGTCACATGCCCAGGTTGTGGGCCCAATCCCCAGTTGGGGCATGCAGAAGGTGGCCAACCAGTGTTTTCTCTCATTGATGTTTCTATCCCTCCCTCTCCCTCTCCCTTCCTCTCTCTCTAAAATCAATAAAGGGAAAAAAAAGAGAGAGATTTGAACACAGGTTTGCCTGAATGACTTCAATTCTGCAAAATCCACCTTAAGGCTGTTCTACCTCCAGACATCTGCAGGGTTAAAAATGCACTCAATACATTTCTCTGATCCTCCCTTTTATAGAGTTCTGGCTATCAGAACCATATTAATGTTTCACATGCTAAAAAAAAAAACAAATGGAAAAGAGAAAATATAAATTGTAAAGCCTAAAAAGTTGTACCAAACTATTTCAATGAATAACATAATCATACTGAAGAAGAGAGGAAGAAATTTGAGCATAAAAATAAGTTACATTCATAATGTAATATGAAGATGTGATGGGATGAGGGAAGGATGGAAAAAAAGAAATATAAACTTGTAGAGTTTATCCATAAATATATAAGTAATGGTAGAATTATAAATCAACACCAACATAGTAAAAATGAGACCAGGAAAGGATCACTAAGGAATGCTAGAAATGCTAGGTGAAAGTTCAAGGAGGAACAGTATATTACATAGTCCCAAATCTCTATAAATTATCACAAATACAAATATAGTAAGTTTACTATGGAAAAACATGATAATTATCACATTCGCTAAGAGATCAAAGTTAACATTACAAGCAATAGAATTTCAGCATTTCAGATCTCCAGGTACGATTACTGAGGACCCAAAATCACTTCTGTATTGTTTCTGCCAAAAAATATAAAACCTGAATGTAATTATGCCGAAGTATCAGATAAACTCATCTGTAAAGCCTTCTGCTTTAGAATTATCCAGTTACAGCCAGTACAACTGAATAAAAGTCCCTGCTGCTTTGCTCTAAAACTACATTGCTCAGAGGCCACTCTCCCTTTGGATGCTCCCAGCTAATGCAACAGGAATTCTAAGCAGGCCTATTTGTGGAGACAATAATTTCTCTTTGCAATGACTTTTTCTCCAAGAACCCCTGACAGTTTCTGTGAATATTTCATAGCTTTAAAAGCTATACGATCATTCCACCAAATCTTTCTTCCTACTGTCCTTTACTCTGGGTCACATTTGCATCATAGTCAGATATTTCTTATAGCCTCCCCTGGCTTCTGCCTTTCCCTTAATATTCTTGTTCATTAAATTCTTGGTGTTCACTTCTTGGAGAACTAGGAAAAAGCCAGCACTCTAGAAGTACCCTTGATGCCTCGTTCTAATCACAACCCTCTTACTATGGCAGTCACTTTTTTTTTTTTTTTTTTAATCCTCACTGGAGGACACTTTTCCATCCTTTGTTCAGATAGTGTGGGAGGAAGAGAGATAGAAACATGATGTGAAAGGGACACATCGAGTGGTCGCCACCCACTCGACCCAACCAGGGCTGGGGACAAACCACAACCAAGGCACATGCCCCCAGCGGAACCGAATCCAGGTCTCTGCGGACCGCAGGCCGACGCTCCAACCGCTGAATCAAACCGGCCAGGGCGGTCACTAACTTTTAACGCATAGGTTTGCTGAGCTTGTTTTTGTATTTTACAGAAATGAAAACATACAATATTTACTATTTATGTCAAACTTCACTTCTTCAACACTATGTTTATGAAATTCAAATTTGAGGACTAGATGAATTGTATTCACTCTCATTGGTGGATATTTTTCAATTTACACTCTGTTATAGATGATCATTTGGCTATTAAAAGTATTGCTGGTATGAGTATACTGGAAAATGTCTTTGGCTGAATGTATGGACATATTAATTTGAGAAATGTGTGTATGGGTTGAACCAAAGGGTTATGCATATAAATATCTTTAATTTTAGTAGATACCTTAAAAAATGTTCCCAAGTGGTTGTACCAACTTACACTACAAAGAATGGTATGACGGTGTTGTCATTTTGCTGTTTTTTGTCTCTTAATTTTAGCTTTTCTTGTGAGAAGGTAGTGACACCTCATATTAATTTAATTTGAATTTCCATGACTAAAGTTTAAGTAACTTTACATGTGATTCCTTATTGTAGCATTATATCCTACCGAACCAGATACCACTACGTCAAGAATAGAGGTAGCATTATATCCTACCAAACCAGGCACCACTACGTCAAGAGCAGACCTTGTTTGCACATCATTGGCTCTCCAAAACCACTCTACCTCGCCCATTCTTCAAATACCTAGCTTTAATTCTCATACAGTTAAGATTATACTAAACATTATCCTGCTTCTTTCATCTCCCTACTGCCCCTAAATTGAACATTTCCCAGTTTCAGATTAATTTTTAATCTCGTGCTAACTTGTTCACATTTCAACAATTGAAAACATCTAGACTTCAGGAAGACATGCCTGTCGAAAAATTTCCGCTCGTGGATTCAGGAGGGGAACACGAGCCCTCAGTGTAGTTACCCATATTACCTCCCTGAGGTCGCTAGTGTGAACCCTGTTCCCAAGAGTTTTGTGGGACCTGCAGTCCATCTCCGAGAAGTATCAAGCACTTCCGCTTGAAGAGGGTGAGAATGTGGACCGAGTTCTCCTGGGGCTTTCTGGGAAGTGTAGTTCGCAGAGACTCAGATACTTCCGTATAGGCACAGGCGGGGCAGGGGAATTCTGGGAAGTGTATTTCCAAGGGCAGCACTTCCGCTCTGGGTGCCCAGGTTACCTGCTGCATTCCATTCGCTGTGGTAAGTCGGCTCCGTGTTTGACCAACTTTCCGAACTTCTGAGGGTCATGATACCGACCCGGCCATCGATTTAGGAGAAAGAGGTTGTATGCGAAAACGATGGTTTCAGGGCTTGGGCGGCAGGCATTCTCCTTGGCGGAGCCTCTTTGTGTTTGGGGCGGGCGGGTCGTGCACCTCCAGCGCTTGCCGCCTCCCCAGGCCGCGCACCTTCCACCCGGGCTGCGGTTTCCCGAGGTAGAACGTTGGATGAATTACCTAAATTTCTCTCTCCGATGTTTTTCCGTAACATTGGGATGGCGTTACTACCTTTCTAATACAGCGGTTTGAAAGTTAAAACGAGACAATATACATAAAAGTCTCAAGGCAGTTTTACTAGGTGGTAAAATGGTGGCTACTTGTTATTAATGCTGTTTAGTTTGGGGAAGCGCTCATTTCCCTGAAAACCGTGAAGTCGATGGGTTCAGAGCTCCAGCTGCAGTGCTCCCTGGCACTTCTCCTTGATCTCTGTGGGAAGCTAGACCTCCAAACCATTTCTGGCTGGAAAGGAGGAGGGAGTGGGGAAGCACGATAGCTCTGTGATTTCTCAGGGATCGCGATGTTAAAAACAAGACAAGGCCCCAAATGGAGTCACTTATGCTACGTTCCGTGTTAGCAAACTCAGACTTAATAACAATTTCAGTTCTCCCGGAAGTGGAATCTTAAACTAGTCGATCAGGAATCTCCAGATTAGCACTTGTTAGGGCATCTACCTGGTGGACCTTTGCCATCTGCTAAAGGAGCGTGACCTTGCAAAACCAAGCTGCTGTTTTTTGTTTTTTGTTTCTAATATAGCTTCTTGTATTCTTTCATTCTGCATATGTATTTTAAAATCTTTCATTCTGGGAGCTCCTTTCTGTTTGCTGTGTTGGACGCCACCCAATTCATGAATCAATGAACAAAGCCAATAAGATCTTTAAAAATTACCCAAGTTGGATTTTGTTTTTTAATAAACAGAGACATAATCTAATATTTCAGAGCCTCCTATTCCCCCCCAGGCATTAATTCTCAAAAAGGAGTGTATTTCTTGTTGTACCATTGTTAGTAAGTCTGCAAATTGTCGGTATCCTAGAAATTATTTACGATAAATTGAAAACACCAAGGCCTAGCTGTTGCCAGCTATCAGCTGCCCTCGCTATTTTTTTATTTTATTTTTTTTCCTTTATTGATTTTAGAGAGAGGAAGTGAGAGGGGGAGAGAGATGGAAACATCAATGAGAGAGAACATTGATTGGCCGCATCCTGCATGACCCCTATTGGGAATTGGGCCCACAACCTGGGCATGTGTCCTTACCGGAAATCGGACCCGTGACCTCTTGGTGCATGGGTCGACGTTCAACCACTGAGGCACACCGGCTAGACTATTTTTTTATTCACACTTTTGTCATACCTCTTTTTTTTAATCTCTGAAAATTTTGAATTGTGCTGTAACATGGTTCTTCTTTGCCCTTAAATATTTGTGTATATTTTCTAAGAACAAGGACATTCTCTTCCATAATCACAGTAGCATGATTAAAATCAGGAAACTAATTATATTGTCAATATACTGTTATCTAATCCACAGTCCATATTTAAATTTGTTCTGTTTTTCATTTAAAATCCTTAAAACTGTTTTTCTCCCAATTAAGACCAGTATTTTGGATTGCTTTTTTGCTCTCTATTTTCTGTTATTTCTTTTAATACAGAATGATTTCTTAGCCTCCATTACTTACTTTCTTCATGATGTTTTTGAAGGGTATAGGCAAGTTAATTTGGAGAAAGTTCATCATTTGAAGTTTACCTGATATATTTCACAATTTGATTTATTGTTGATAAGTTCCATATACTTTTCAGCTAATTTAACAAGAACCAAAGGATGTTTTCTGGCTTTATATTGCTGATAGCAGCTTTGTTCACTTGGAGAAGGAACTGTCTGTCCCATTTCTCCACTGAAGTTACCACTTCTCTTTTTGTAAATACTTTTCTATGGAGAGACATTTTTATTGATAAAGATGAGTTTTCCTGTTTTTCCCACTATTTTATTTATTCAGATATAAATACTATATCCATATGGACTTATAATCTAGTGTTAATTAAAATGAAATGTAGCTTATTAAATGATTCTTAAAAACAACTGACATGTATTTTACACATAGTTTTGCCTTTCCATGTGTACAATTCAATGATTTTTGTAACATTATTGAGTGGTGCAACTTGTACAATAATTCAGTTTTAGAACATTTTCATTTCTACAGTAAGATTGTTTATTCCCCTGGGTGGAGGTAGGCAAAGGGAGGGGGATGGAGAACATCTGTGACCGTATCAACAATAAATAATTTAAATTAAAAACAAAAAACAGCCCTGGCCGGTTTGGCTCAGTGATTAGAGCGTCGACCTGCGGTCCAGAGAGACCCCGGTTCGGTTCCCGCTAAGGGCATGTACCTCGGTTGCAGTTTGTCCCCGGCCCTGGTTGGTTGTGCGGGTGGCAGCCACTCGATGTGTCCCTTTCACGTCGATGTTTCTCTCTCTCTCTCTCTCTCTCTCTCTCTCTTCCTCTCTCTCCCTCCCACTCTACCTGAACAAAAAATGGAAAAATGTCCTCGGGTGAGGATGATAAGAAAAAAAAAAAAAAACAGCCCTGGGCGGTTTGGCTCAGCGATTAGAGCATCCGCCTGCAGTCCAGAGAGACCTGGGTTCGGTTCCTGCTAAGGGCATGTACCTCAGTTGCAGTTTGTCCCCGGCCCTGGTTGAGTCGTGCGGGTGGCAACCACTCGATGTGTCCCTTTCACGTCAATGTTTCTCTCTCTCTCTCTCTCTCCCCCTCCCACTCTATCTGAACAAAATATGGAAAAGTGTCCTCAGGTGAGGATTAAAACAAAAAAACAGTCTTTTGTTTATTCCCATGTATAGTTAATTTCTGTTTTCACACCCTGAACAACTACTAGCTTACTTCATGTCTTTGTGAACCTTTTATTTAAATGGGATCATACAATATGTGGTCTTTCAAGACTGGCTCTTTCATTATAATGTTTCAACATCCATGTTGTAGTATATATTATAACATTATTCCTTTTTATTGCCTGTGAATATTTCATTGTGGACATACCACACTTTTCCTATCTATTCACCCACGTAGGTGGATATTTTAGTTGTTTCCTGTTTGGGGTTCTTATTAATAAGAATTTTATAAACTATGTGTAAGTTTTTGTGTGGAGCTATGTTTTCAAAAAAATTTTTCTAGAATCTTGTGTTTCTTTTTTTTATCCTCACCCGAGGGCATTTTTCCATTTTTTGTACAGATAGAGTGGGAGGGAGAGAGAGAGAGAAACATCGACGTGAAAGGGACACATCGAGTGGCTGCCACCCACACGACCAACCAGGGCCAGGGACAAACTGCAACCGAAGTACGTGCCCTTAGCGGGAACCGAACCCGGGTCTCTCCAGACCGCAGGCCGACGCTCTAACCGCTGAGCCAAACCGGCCAGGGCTAGAATCTTGTGTTTCTTAATATAGATACTAGAAAACAATGTTTGTGTGTGTGTGTTTTTTAAGAAAACAGTTGTCCATAGCAATTTAAAAGTTATTACTAAGGTAAAACATTATGAGGAAAGACAGTGAGGCAGTCAACAGATTTTTCAGAAGTTATGAATGATTGTCACAGAACAGAACAGTCACGAGAGAAGTCCAGGTACCATACAATTATTTTTTGGTAGGATCACATTATAAGACCACTTTCACATAATGAACTATCATCTTTTTTTTTTTTTTTAATCCTTACCTGAGGATATTTTTCCATTTATTTTCAGTGGGAGGGAGAGAAAGAGAAACATCGATGTAAGAGAGACACATTGACTGGTTGCCTCCCACTTGACCCTGACCAGGGCCGGGGATGAACCGCAACTGAGGTACATGCCCTTGACTGGAATCGAACCCACGACTCCTTGGTCCATGGGCTGACACTCAACTGCTGAGCCAAACCTGCCAGAGCCAAAGTATCATCTTTTTTTTTTACAATAGCTACAAAAATAAAAAACCCTGGTAGTATTCAAAGTCCTGTCTTGCTCTAAACAGTTCAGTTGAAAGTTGTACAGATGACACAGTTGAGGAAAAGAGATGTTATTAATTTGCCTAAGACAACCCAACTTAGTGAGAAGCTGAACTAGGATTCGAACCCAGATATTGCTGCCCCAGAGATGATTCTTGGTTGGGATATTATGTTGTCTCAATTTGTATCATACCAGAACCTGATTTGCTACCTTGGGTGCCACAAGGCAGTGTTGGAGATGGTGCCAATGTGTGTGTTGTACAGGAATCAAGGCCCTGCTGTGCTCTCTTCAAGCTGTGTACAGCTGCAGCCACCTCAAGAAAGGGGCTCCTTGGCCAATTCACAGTTCGAGTTCATGGAGGTGAACAACATCCTGATCACCCTTTCATGTCCTTTTCTGTCTTTGCAGACACTACTGGGCACAGTTCTGCATACCAGGACTCTGTATATCTCAGGAATCTGTACATTTGCAGAAGTAAGAAGAAAATGACCACATTTAAGGTGCATATGGCTCTCCTTTCTTACTGTTAAAATTCCATCTCACTGTTCAGAAGGTTACATGTATTTTTCTTTTCTTGAGATCACTCAAGGAGAGCACCGGACATTTAAAGACCTGTTGACTTTGTACTTGTTTATTTTTTATTTTTATTTATTTTTTAATCCTCACCTGAGGATTTTTTTTTTTTTCTATTTATTTTTAGATACAGTGGAAGGGCAGGGGAAGGGCGGAACATAGATGTGAGAGAGACATATCGATTGGTTCCTTCTCGCATGACCCTGACCAGGGCTGGGACAAACCGCCACTGAGGTAAATGCCCTTGACCAGAATCGAACCTGCGACTTTTTGGTCTGCAGGCCGATGCTCTAACCTCTGAGCCAAACCAGTCAGGGCGAATTTGTACTTCTTTATAGTGTTTGCTTTGTTTTGTCATTATTTTATTTCAAAAATAAGTGTGGACAAATTAGTAAAGATCACCAGTTCTCCAACCTGATTACTTCACTGATGGCATGTTAACTGTTACTTCCTCGTGTACATCCATAACTGTATTAATGTGCTTGATTACATCTTACATTAAATATTGCTTTTTCATTCAGTATTACAGCATTTATTATTTATGGCTATGTGGTATTTCTATTAAATTGATATGCTTTTTTATTTTTAACTACTTACCTACCACTCAAAGACATTGAGGTGGTTTAGGAATTTTGTTGTATTAAGAACATTGCAATGAAAATTTTTCTACCTGCCAACTTTTCTCCAAAAAACCAATTCTCCAAATAATATTCCTATTGTTTTTTGTTCTCAACGTACTAGGAGCTCAATGTTGAAAAAGTGCATTTGCTAGACACCCCCATTGGAATTTTATAGATGGGATATTCAAATACGGCATAGCACAATAGGCTCTAACTGCTGCTTTACATAGATGTTGTTGGAAATTTTCACACAGGAAGAGCTAGATTTTGTCTTTCCTATGTCTGTCATACCCTATATGTCTTTTACTTACTGATCAACTTTTTTTTTTTTTTTATACTTCTCACCTGAGGATATTTTTCTATTTATCTCCAGATAGAGTGGGAGGAAGGGAGAGAGGAGAGAGAGAGAAACATCGACTGGTTGCCTCCTGCATGACCCCGAACAGAGCTGGGGATGAACTGCAACCAAGGTACGTGCCCTTGGCCGGAACCAAACCCTCAACTCATTGGTCTGCGAGCTGACACTCGACCGCTGAGCCAAACCAGCCAGGGAAACCACTTATCTTTTTACAGTCTGCATAATTTTTTTTTATCCTCACCCGAGGACATTTTTTTTTTTTTTTTTTTAAATCCTCACCCAAGGACATTTTTTGATATTTTGTTCAGATAGAGTGGGAGGGAGAGGGAGAGAAACATTGACATGAAAGGGACACATCAAGTGGCTGCCACCCGCACGACCAACCAAGACCGGGGACAAACTGCGACCAAGGTACGTGCCCTTAGCGGGAACCGAACCTGGGTCTCTCTGGACCGCAGGCCAATGCTCTGACCACTGAGCCAAACAGGCCAGGGCCAGCCTGCATAATTTTACCTTTTCCATAATATTATATGGTTGGAATTGTGCATACATAGCATTTCAGACTGGCTTCTTTTACTTAGTAATGTGTGTTAAAGTTACCTCCATGTCTTTTTGAGACTTAATAGCTCTTTTTTTTTTTTAGAATTAAATTATACTCTGATCTGGATATACTACAGTTTATACATTTGTCACCTGAAGGATATCTTGGTTGCCTCCGGTTATAAACTAAGGTATAACCTTGGTTTGAAACGTCCAGTCTTGCTGTGACTGGTGTGACTCAGTTGTTTGGGCATGGTCTCGGCACCAAAAGGTTCCTGATTCAATCCCTTGTCAGGGCAACCAATGAATGCATAAATAAGTGGAACAACAAATTGATGTCTCTCTCGCTCTCACAAATCGGTAAATTAAAAAAAAAAAGTCCAGTCTTGCTGTATATGCCAGGCACTTACTCCTTCAAGCTGTTTGATAAGGAGGTTCTTGATCTCATCTTCCATTTAAATAGGTGAAAACTGAGAAACCTGCTTAGGTTCACATAGGAAACCAAGCAAGTGTCAAGGAATATTAGTCATTCTGTTTGAAAGGACAGATAAGAAGATAGCATCTGCTCTATGCTGATTGAGATTACATGTTTTTGGTGTTGTAGGAGGCAGTGACGTTCAAGGATGTGACTGTGGTATTCACAGAGGAGGAGCTGGAGCTGTTGGACCTGTCCCAGAGGAAGCTGTACCGAGACGTGATGCTGGAGAACTTCCGGAACCTGGTCTCAGTGGGTGAGGACAGGAGCCTTCTATAACTGAATGTCAGCCCCCAAGAGTGGCTTTGTATCCTTAGGTGTTCAAGGCTTTGGAGCCCTTGAATTGGTTCCCTGAGTTTGGAGGTCTGACTTTACTATAGGGGACACAGAGTGGGAATTCTTTTGGTTTTTATCAACAGGCAAGTTTGTGTTTTGTTAAGGAATACTGTAAATGCACAGTATACTGCTCTACCTTATCCGTTTCTGAGCCTTCCATGAGTTATAAAACCAGTTGAGCCCTACTCTCTATTTTAAAAAAAATCCTCAACTGAGAATATGTTTTTATTGATTTTTAGAGGGAGAGAGAGAAACATCAATGTAAGAGAGAAAAATCGATCTGTTGCCTCCCACACACACCCCGACCAGGCATCAAACCTGAAACCTAGGTATGTACCCTGACCGGAAATCGAACCTGAGGCCTTTTGGTGTACAGGTTGACACTCCAACCAACTGACCCACCCAGCCAGGGCCCTACTCTCAGGTTTTAAGGAAATAAATTTGATAACATTAATCCTTCTCACACTCTTCCAAAAAATTTGAGTAGGAAGTACTTCCTAACTCATATGTGTATGGGTCTTTTTAAAATTTTATTTTGAGAGTATGTTTATGAAAGCTGAGGACAGTGAAGCAAAAGTAGGACTTAGGGTAGAGGAAGCAACAGGAAAGAGCATAGGTGATGTTCTGCACTGGCTTAAGAAATGTTATAAGAAAGAAGTGAGCCATACTGTGCTGTGTGGCCTCACTGAGAAGTAAAAGTCACAGTGAAAGAATTGAGCCAAGGTGGGGCTGCTTTTAGCTCACTGAAAAGTTTAGGATAGAAGAAGCAACAGGAGAGAGTCTAGACGGTGCTCTGCTTTGGCTCTTTAGAAATGTCATGAGAAAGAAGTAAGTCATGGTTGGGCTGCTGTTAGCTCACTGAAAAGTTAGGGGAAAGTGGGCCTTGAGGATAGAGTCAGGGGGTAAGCCTGGGACAAGCTACAGTTGTCCATTGTTCCCCTGGTTGCAAGTTTTATGGGGACCCTTAGAGTTTAGGAGAGAAAAGTAAAGATACACACCTGAGAGGGAAGAAAGGGTATGGACATTCTCCAGAGAGACAGCCTACCTGTATGGGTCTTGACAAATGACTTTTTTTCAAATTGATCATTTTTTTAAAAATGTTTGAAAAACACTGCTTTTGATTACAAGAAGAGTATGTAGTGGGAAACTAATTTTCCAGGAAAGTTTACCTAGAATGTTTTGGTTTAAGCACATGACTTTGCGTGTTCACAGGGCATCAAACATTCAAACAAGACACAGTTCACTTTGTAAGGGGAAGAAAGTTTTGGATGATGGATATGGCAGCCCAAAGAAAAGGGAATTCAGCCCTGGCTAGTGTGACTTGGTTGGTGGGAGCGTTGTCCCATACACAAAAGGTTGTGGGTTTGATTCTCAGTCAGGGCACATACCTGAGTTTCAGGTTCGATCCCTGGTTGGGGTGTGTACTGGAGGCAACCAGTCAGTGTTTCTCTCTCACATCCATGTTTCTCTATGTGTGCGTGTGTGTGTCTCTCTCTCTAAAAATCAATGAAAATGTCCTCAGGTGAGGATTTAAAAATATATATACTTTTAATTCCTTTATGGCTTCTTTTTTACAACCACTTAAAGTGGCTCTTGGAGTCTGGAGTCCCCTGTGATCTGCTCTGTGTCCCCATTCCCTCTCTAAATACATCTCTTATCCTCCTCCCTCTTGCTTTATTTTCCCATCCACATTGTCCTCCTTGCTGTTCCTCAGACCTGGCAAAGAGACTATACATTGCCTGTTGCTGCTGTAACAAATTACTATAAACAGCAGAGCTCACCACAAAATTTTATTATATTTTAGTGAAGTATGTCATGTCTCACTGAGCTAAAGTCAAGGTGTCTGTAGGGCTATGTGTCTTTCTGGATGCTCTAGGGAGGACCCTTTCCCTTGGGTGACCAGTCTCTAAGGCCTGCTCAATTCCTTGGCTCTTGTTTTCCTTTCTCCATCTTCAAAGCCATCAACATTTGCATTTCTGACCATTCTTCTGTACTCTTCCTATGTCACTCTTATGACTCTGTCTTTCACCCCTTGGGACCCTTCTGATTACATTGGTCCCTCCCAGATAATCCAGGGTGTTCTTCCCATTTTTATGGTCAGCTGATTAGCAACCCAATTTCCCTTTGTTGTGTAATAACATGTTTATAGGTTCTGGGAATTGGATGTGGACATCTTTCAGGAATCATTATTAAGTATACCACAGAAGCTTTTCCTTCAGGGTCCTTTACTTATTTTTTCCTGGAATATTTTTGGGAGGATATTTTCCCATTGAATTTTTTTTTTTAAATAGAAATGGCCCTGGTCAGTTTGGCTCAGCAGTTAGAGTGTCGGCCTGCGGTCCAGAGAGACCCACGTTCAGTTTTCACTAAGAGCACGTACCTTGGTTGCAGTTTGTCCCTTGTCCTGGTTGGGGTTGTGCAGGAGGCAGCCACTTGATGTGTCCCTTTCATGTCAATGTTTCTCTCTCTCTTTCTCTTCCTCTCTCTCCCTCCCACTCTATCTGAACAAAAAATGGAAAAATGTTCTCGGGTGAGAATTAAAAAAAAAAAAAGATAGAAATGAAGGGAGGGAGGAAGGAAGGAAGGGAGAGAGAGAGAGAGACATCTATGTGAGAGAACACATTGATTGGTTGCCTGCCACATGACCCTGACCAAGGCCAGGGATCAAACCTGCAATCTAGGTACATGAACCTGACTAAGAATTGAACCTGTGACCCTTTGATCCATGATCTGAAGCTCTAATCAATGGGTAAACCCAGCCAGGGCTGTCTGGAATATTCTTTCACCTAAAATCCTACTGGCCCTTTCCTTCTTCCTTCATTGCGTGCTCAGTTTCAGTATCATAACACTGGCCTTCTGACCACCCTATTTAAAATAACAATCCTATCTTTACTTGCCTGATACTTTGTCTCATATATATATATATTTTTTATTTTTATTTTTTATTTTTTTATCCTCACCCGAGGACATTTTTCCATTTTTTGTTCAGGTAGAGTGGGAGGAAGAGAGAGGAACAGAGAGAGAGAGAGAAACATCGATGTGAAAGGAACACATCGAGTGGCTGCCACCCGCACAACCGACCCGGGCCGGGGACAAACTGCAACCGAGGTACGCGCCCTTAGTGGGAACCGAACCAGGGTCTCTCAGGACTGCAGGCCGATGCTCTAACCGCTGAGCAAACTGGCCAGGGCTGTCTCATATACTTTCCACACGACCCAACCAGGGCCGGGGACAAACTGCAACCAAGGTACATGCCCTTAGCGGGAACCAAACCCGGGTCTCTCCGGACCGCAGGCCGACGCTCTAACCGCTGAGCCAAACCGGCCAGGGCTCATATACTTTTATTATCACTTCTCTCTCTGCAGGAATATAATCTGCAGAAGGAGAATTGTAATTGTTTTATTTATTGCTGTATCCTTAGTGCCTAGAATAGTCCTGGGACATGGCAAATACCTGTAAATATTTATTGAGTTATTGGATAGGTGGGCCTTACTGTCTTTCCTGCTGGTAGTGATGTTTTGATAGCTTCTATTCTGTTTATTTTTCTAAATGCTTATTACAAACTTTTAAATTTATTTCATAGCTCACTGAAGGCCTGTGGTTTTCTATTTAAAAAGCTGATATGAAAGACCAACTTATCTACATCCAAAGATTTTCCACACTGTTTTCAAACAGATAGTCCAGAACCTGCATAAGAAACCATTGCATAGACCCTCATGTTTTCTTTTCACCCAGGTCACTCCAGGACTCATGGAGACAGCTAATAAGTGATCTGTACAACAGAGCAAATTAAAGATACTGAGGCCCTGGCCAGTTTGGCTCAGCGGTTAGAGCATTGGCCTGTGGTCCGGAGAGACCCGGGTTCAGTTCCCGCTAAGGGCATGTACCTCGGTTGCAGTTTGTCCCCGGCCCTGGTTGGTCGTGCGGGTGGCAGCCACTCGATGTGTCCCTTCGCGTCGATGTTTCTCTCTCTCTCTCCCTTCCTCTCTCTCCCTCCCACTCTATCTGTACAAAAAAAAATGGAAAAAATATCCTCAGGTGAGGATTAAAAAAAAAAAGATACTGAGAACATTTCTTGTCTCCAAATGACTGACTACCCATCCAGTTTCCAGTTTCTTCTTACTTAGATGCCCTCAGCAGGATTGTATATTTGTGTGTGTGCACTTGACTCATATCCCAGAGAAGCTTCTAAGCGTTGTGATTGTGACTACACTGAGGAACTGCCATCCCTGTGGCTTTCCTGGAGCCTGCCATAGGAGGCATATTCATTTCTGAGTAGTAATTCCTTAGTGGGGATTCTGTGGTCTTCTCTAAACAGTTCCCCCACAGATGAGAAAAAAAGAATCTATATTCCCTGAGCTCTCAGACAATAATCAGCTTGCAGGCTGCCTGTCTTTTGCACGATTTGCCCATCTCCAGCCCACCTGCTTCTTATAAGGTTGACATCCACATCACTGTCACCAGGTTTCTCCTCCATGTGCAAGGAGGGGAAGAAAGAGGATGAAAGTAACATCAGTTACACATCTGAATGTTGTCTATCCCTGATCATTTTTGGTTAAAAATATGGTGTATATTTTTGCAGCTTTATTTTCTACAAATTTAGCCATTATACAAGTGCTACAGAATAATGATTTCACATGATTTTCCTTTATTTTTATAGAGACATAATTGTCTCATTTTCAACTGGTGAACGATATAACCTGGAAGGTATCGAGAAACTGCCCACTCAAAATTGTCACATCCTCAAAGAGACTTCTATGTCCTCTACCCAAAATTATTTTAAAGTGACAATTTATTAAATTTAACCATAAACTATAATATCTGTTAAGATGTACACACTCACCTAGCAGTACTTTTCCAAGGTTCTGCCCTTGGAACTTATATTTCCATTTGACTAATTTGTTTAATTAAGGACTTGTTAAGTTCCTAAACCAAGTTTTCACGTTTTTTATACAACAAGCCATCCTAAGAAATGCATCTTTCAGTGTAACCAAAGGAAATACTATACATATGTGTAGATTTATATGTATGACTGTGCGAGACAATTTGTGCAATGACCTCATTTCTGCTGGTGATGATGGTCTGATAGTTTCTGTCCTGATTCTTTTTTCCAAGCATTTATTGCATGATTTGAAATTTATTTTACAGCTAACTAAAAGGCTGCTGTTTTCGATCTAAAAATTGATGTGAAGCCCTGGCCGGTTTGGCTCAGCAGTTGGAGGGTTGGCCTGCGGTCCAGAGAGACCCGGGTTCAGTTCCTGCTAAGGGCACGTACCTCCGTTGCAGTTTGTCCCCAGCCCTGGTTGGGTCATGTGGGTGGCAGCCACTAGATGTGTTCGTTTCATGTTAATGTTTCTCTCTCTCTCTCTCTCTCTCTCTCTCTCTCTCTCTCTCTCTCTCTCTCTCTCCCCCTCACACTCTATCTGAACAAAATATCGAAAAGTGTCCTCAGGTGAGGATTTAAAAAAAAAAATTGATGTGAAAGCCCAGTTTCTCTCCATCCAAAGTTTTTCCACACTCTGTTTCGAAAAAGATAATCCAGAAGCCTCAGAAGAAACCATTACATAGGCCCTTGTGTGTTCATTTCAGCTTTTAATTTTCTCATCACCCTTTATCTATTCCTGTGGGGTATAGACTTGGCTTCATAGCAAAATTGCAGTTTATCAGAAATCTTAACTAAGTTTATGTGTGTATCAACACAGAAAAATAAGATGAACTACACATATTACGTAGAATTTGCAGGGATACTTTGCATATATAGGAACAAACAACTCTAAGTTTTCGATATATAGGATTGTAAAGAGTTTAGCCAACTACAGAGTTTACAGGGAGGGTTTACACTCTTTTCCTACACTTGACACCAACTGCACATTTGGGGGGTTCCCAAACTACCTTCACATTGAATGAGTCTCTAGAAGGCCTGCTAGAACTCACGGAATGCTATTATATTCACGGTTTGTGTTTATTGCAGAGAAGGATTCACCTTATAATTAAGTGAGAGAAAAGGCACAGGAAAGGGAGTCTAGGGAAGAGCCAGACACAGAGTTTCCACTATCCTATCTGCATGGAGTCAAGGCAGTGTTTCTGTATTACCTTTCAACGTAAAGGTGTGAAATTACACACAGAGTATTGCCTATCAGGGAAGCTCACCTGAGCCTCAGTGTCCAGGGTAACTACTAGAGTTGCATCACATGGCCAGTGTACCCTGAATAGTTTCACAAGGTTATTCTGTCTCCTGGTTCACACCACTGGGTAACTGAAAGCTTTATCCACAATCACGTTTTGGTCTTCCTCATGTGATCAACCTCATTCCTAAATCATATTGTTAGACCAGCTGTTGTGACCCCAGATCCTCAGGCTCTCTTTTCAGGCATTACATTTTACATGCTTAGAGCTTATCTCTCAGATGTCAAGGGCAAAGGCCAGGTCCCTTTTTTGGTAAGATTAAGTTTTTTACTACCTAAGGATATGTAACGTAAACCCAAATATACAAAGTATTGATTATGTCACTGCTTTTCCTTAAAGTATGCATTGATCCATATTTCATTGTGTATATAATTTATTTGCTGCATAATTTACTATCCAAGGGTTTATACTGTTTATGAAATTCAGAAGAAATAGCAACAGATTAACGTGTATCATCTTACTATATTTGTTATAAAGTCTTTGGTTTCTACCTTGTACTTCTCATAGGAGACTTGGTAAGGTTCTAAATTGGTTTCATTGATGCTTAGTGGATAAGAACCTACTCGAATACTTCTTGGTTTCTGTAGGCATATAAACCAGAGACCATGATGCATACCCAAAGGACATAGTGTATAGTCCCTGGATTTATTGAAGTTTCATGCTCTCTCCTAAATGTGAAATCTTGAAGACACTGAAAAACAGTCTTCACTTATCCACATCTTTACATTCTCTCTACTTTTAGGAGGCAAGATCCTATATGAGATGGAGACTGTTCCAGAACCAGAACCACATGAAGAACTTTCCTGCTGGCAAATATGGCAACAAATTGCAAGTGACCTAATCAGGAGTCAAGACATGATAAAGTGTTCTCAGTTCCCCAGATATGGTGATTTGACCAGCCAGGTTGGGGCAGGACTATATATAACTCACACAGGCCAGAAATCTGACTGGGGAAATGAATGTAAAACATTCTTTAGTGGTAGCTCCAACTTTTATCTTCCTCAAAAAATACACTCAGGAGAGAAGTCTCACACATGTGGTGAGTGTGGAAAAAGCTTCTTCCATAGCTCAGCACTCCGTATTCATCAGAGAGTTCACTTGGGAGAGAAATGCTATAAGTGTGATAAGTGTGGTAAGGAATTCAGTCAGAGTTCACGTCTGCAAACACATCAGAAAGTCCACAGTGTAGAGAAGCCATTCAAATGTGAGCAGTGTGGGAAAGGCTTCAGTCGTAGGGCAACACTTAGTGACCATTGCAAATTACACTCGGGAGAGAAACCTTATAAGTGTGAGGAGTGTGGGAGGGCCTTCATTCATGCTTACCACCTTCACAACCATCAGAGAGTCCATACTGGGGAAAAACCGTTCAAATGTGATATATGTGGGAAGAACTTCCGTCGTAGATCAGCGCTTAATAGTCATTGTGTGGTCCACACGGGAGAGAAACCATACAAATGTGAAGAATGTGGGAAGTGCTTCAGCTGGTGCTCACATCTTCATATTCATAAGAGTATCCACACGGGACAGAAACCATACAAATGTGACCAGTGTGGAAAGAGCTTCTATTCTAGGGCAGATCTTTATTACCATCAGAGAATTCACAGAGATGAAAAACCCTATAATTGTGAGGTATGTGGGAAGAGCTACAGATGGGCCTCACATCTTTTGGCCCATCAACGAGTCCACAGTGGAGAAAAACCATTCAAATGTGAAGGGTGTGGGAAGAGATTTGGTCGGAAATCATATTTGCAAGCTCATCAAAAAGTCCACGCCAGAGAAAAGCCATACAAGTGTGAGGAGTGTGGGAAGGGCTACGAGACAAGCTTGGATCTTGCTGTGCACCGGAGCATCCACACGGGAGAGAAGCCATATACATGCTGGGTGTGTGGTAAGCACTTAAGTAGGGCTTCACACCTTAAACTTCATCAGAGAGTCCATACTGGAGAGAAACCATACAAATGTGATGTGTGTGGTAAGTTCTTTACTCAGTTTTCACATCTACAGTCTCACCAGAAAGTTCACACAAGGGAGAAACCTTACAAATGCGAGGTATGTGGTAAGCACTTCAGGTCAAGTTCATACTTTAAAATTCATAACAGAAGCCATATTGGTGATAAATTTCGTCCATTCTCAGAGGAAGGAAAACGTTTGTTTCACTAAAGTGAATATTTCAGCCATAGTGCAACATATCCAGTGATTCTGGGATCACACAAATAGGGTAAGGGCGTGAGGGCAGGGAGTTTGTTTGCTGCTGAACCTACACAACCTTAACATTGATTAGTACTTTGTATATGTATTCAGTACTCGTTTGTTTAAATCAATCAGGGGGAGAAAATACATAATATTTAAAAAGGAAATCTGCAAAAATAAACAATTCAGAGAAACGAATGAGTTGAAATGCAGAAATACACTAGGCACCGCATGCCACAGTATTATTTTGTTAGTATCCTTGCAGTTGGCTCCTGTCCTACCTTCTGGCTCTGTACTGAGGCTGGGTTTTTATTTATTTGCGTTTGTCTGGTGTTACATTGGTATATATAGTATGAATTCATCTCATTTTTTATTTTTCTCACAATGCAGACAAACAGTTTTAACTTTGCAATAACTAGCTATTGCACATACCACAATTGAAATTTTCAGCAGTGTAAAGGCAAGGGTTCACAGTAACCCATTACCAGTATCAGATTTAGTGCCAATGATAAAAGTTGTATTAATCTTGAATTCATTGAATTTTAGACTTATGTATTTCCATGCAGACTTTGATATGATTGCCTTCTAATTGTAGCATTTCTTTTGTCAAACTTCTCTGGTAGGGGCTATACCAAATTTGAAGGATGTTTAGTTCCTCAACTTCTTATATTCTTCCCTTATCCTCATGAAATAAATACCAGAAAAATTTGTTGGGACTTTGTAATTTCATCAGATGTATTCATTACTGATGTGGGAATGTCTACATGCTTTTTTTGTAAAATACATCTTTATTACAAGAGTGTGTAAGGTGCAACTCTTTGACTTAAAAATCCTAGTATGAGAATTTAAGATTATGAGATTCAAATAATGAAAAATCAGTAATGCTACAATTTTTAGAATGGAAATAACAAGTGTTCATCAATAGGAACACCTGTTTCTTTGACACACTGTGACTAATTTTAAAATAATGGGTCCCTGCCCTGGCCTGTTTGGCTCAGCAATTAGAGCATTGGCCTGTGGACCAAAGAGTCTCCGGTTCTATTCCAGTCAAGGGCATGTACCTTAGTTGTGGTTTGGTCCCTGGTCCTGGTCAGGGTTGTGCAGGAGGTGACTAATTGATGTGTCTTTCTCACATCCATGTTTCTCCCTCTCTGTCCCCCCTCCCTTCCTCCCTCCCTCTCTATTTGGAGATAAATGGGAAGATATCCATGAGTGAGGATTAAAAAAGTAATTAGTCCTAGAACCTCTCTTATTCATCTACGTACTTGATATTTTGTTACATGTGCCATGTCTTAATAAAAACATTTAATTCTTGAGAGTGTTTAAAAATTTTTTTTTCATTGAAAACCGTCATATTACTACAGAACATTCCAAAAAAGAGGGTGGAAAGAAGTAAGAGCTTATACTTAATATTTTAATGAGCATGCTTCAGTGATGCATATAAGTAACAATTGTATAGAATTTTACAATACTAGGAACAAGATTCATACTGTTTTCTAATTGTGAAAGGGCCTCATTTTGTCTCACTTTACCATGTTCTCAGAGAAACCTCATCTGAGGCTGGTATTCTGTGACTCTTTATGTCCCAAAGGAGAATAACATGGCCTAGCTATGAGTGCCATGCCAGCTTCCAGATGTTAGGGGCTATTTTGTTTTTTGTTTGTTTTTTAGTTAATCCTCACCAGAGGATATTTTTGTATTGATTTTCTTTTTTTCTTTTTTTTGACAGAGTGGGAGGGAGGGAGAAAGAAACATTGATGTGAGAGAGACACATCAATTGATTGCCTCCTGCAGGACCCCAACCAGTGCCAGGGATCTAACCTGCAACCCAGGTATGTACCCTTGACTGAGAATCGAACCCATGCCCCTTTGGTCTCTGGGCTGATGCTCTAACCACTGAGCAAAACTGGCCAGGGTAGGGCTGTTTTGTCTTCAGTTCTCAATCCATTCAGTGCAACATTATACAGCAATCATTTGGAAAGATTAGATTTTCAGTGACTGATAGTAGAAAATGTCTAGCTTATTTTGAGTTTAGAAAAATGGATATAGAACACAAGACTTCATTTTTAAAAACATGGCCTGCCAGTGTGGCTCAGTGAACAGCATTGTCCCATGGGCTGAGAGGTTCAGGTTTGATTCCCAGTCAGAGCACGTGCTCAGGTTTAGAGCTCAATCCCCAGTGAGGGGGCATACAGGAGGTAGCTGATCTGTGTATCTCTCTCACATAGATGTTTATCTCTTTCCCTTCCTCTCTCTCTAAAAAAAAAAAAATCAATGAAAACATTCAAAAAAAGAGAAGAAGAAGAAGATTAGTTATTTGTGTGTTATAGGAAGTAAAAATCTAGTTATCTTCAAGGGGAACAATTCTAGATGTATTTGTTCTTATTTGTTCTTAAATTTTGCTTTATACTCTTTATAATTAGTTTCCAGTAACATATGTGGTTTTTTGTTTGTTTGTTTACTGACATATAGAGAGACAGGAGAGAGAGACATCAATTTGTATTTCACTTGCTGATACATTTATTGGTTGCTTTTTATATGTGCCCTGACTGGAGATCCAACCTGAAACCTTGGTGTATCGGGATGACACTCTAATCAACTGAGCCACCTGGCCAGGGCTGTAACATATGTGTTTTAGAAGTGCTAACAATCATAAAGATATTTTAAACAAATATAAAGTAAAAAAATCTCTTAATGCTAAAACATCCTCCCTTACCTATAGAACCCTCATCAATGCTCTGGCATTAAGTTATAGGCTTTGAGAGTCAAAATGACCAATCCTGAGCTTTTCAGCTACAGTGATACCTCGGTTCTCAAACGCCTCGGATTTCGACCAAATCGGTATTCGACCAGGAGATTCGAGAAACTTTTGTCTTGGAATCCGAACAAATATTTGGAACTCAAACTTCCGAGATGAGCCGAGTTGAGCCGAATGGCGTTCATTCGGCCCAGCGCGCCTTGCTTGCGTCATCAGTGTGAGTGCAGAGAGAGAGTCACGCTTTGTGGAGAGAGTCACGCTTTACACTGAATTTAACCCTTAAACATACTGTACACTTTTATTTCTTGTTGAGACTTATGTTTTTCTACATATTATATACAAATTAGGCCAGTAAATAGGCATTTTCTGGGGCTTGGAACGAATTAATCCAGTTTCCATTTTTTCCTATTGGGTTTCATTGCTTCGGTTCTCGAACAATTTGGTTCTCGACTGTCCTCCTGGAACGAATTATGTTCGAGAACCGAGGTATCACTGTATTATATTTGCTTTGAGATAGTGGGCAAATTTCTTAACCTCTCTGAAATTTGATATTTTTACCTCCAAAGTAGGTATAATAATAACTGTTTAAGAGAAAAGTTTAAGTGAGGGTAGAGCACTTTCCCATAAGGACAAGCTTCCAGTTTGACCTTCTCAAGTGCCACAGGGTCCAGAGTAGGTGCTGGTAACTTCTTCACTCTTCATCAAATCATTCTACCTCTTAAATCGTCCTACCTCACTCATTCCTTAAACTTAGTATAATGCTTACATTAGAGTAAGCATTATTCTCCTTTCAGTCATCTAGTGTCCTCTAGATGGTCATTTCCCATTAATTTTTGTTATTGTTATTAATCCTCACCTGAAGGGAGGGAGGAAGGAAGAGAGAGAGAAGCATTGATGTGAGAGAGACATGTCGATTGATTGCCTCCTGACTGACCCCAATTGGGACTGGGGATTGAACCGGAAACTCTGGTATGTGCTCTTGACCAAGAATCTAACCCAAGAACCTTCAGTCTAAGGGCCAACACTCCAACCACTGAGCAAAACTGGCCAGGACTTAATTTCTTTACTTTAATACTCAAGCCTGCTCTTTTATTAAGCATAGGATGGGGAATAACAGGAATTTTAAGCAGAATGCTAAAGCAGGAGCACTGAGAAGCTGTAAACTTTCACAATTGAGTTGCTTCTTGAAACTAGAATGAAGGGAGTGACTTTTTATCCCCACATCAAAATTATCCTGTAAATTCTTAGGGACACAATGCTTCCTTTCCTGCCTGTCAAGGAATTGAGGGAATCCTTGGCAAAATTTGTTTGTTATAATATCAATAATTTTTTGTATAGTTTGGCAAGGGAGTAAAAAAACAAACAAAAAACAGTACTTTGTGGCCCAGTAGCTCTGTCTATTCCCTCCATTTTTCAGTGTCACCTCCATCTTGGCTGGCTGGAACAAGGTTCAGAGTTCTCTCTTCAGTAGTTGCCAAACCCACTTAGACTTGGTCTGGATGAGTGAAACAATTATCTCCTGGATCAATGCAGCAATGAAGGATAAGTACTGGCTTTTTCTTACCTAAACAGGAGAAAGCTCCTGATCATGTGGCCACAGTGGGCTGCACTTTGGTGGTAGCGGGGTGCAACAGGGGTCACCAGACTATTCTAAACAGAATTGCCTGTGCTTCTCCGATGAAACAAAGAACCCACATACCAACTCAGCATTCGCTTTCAAACAGGCCAACACCAGAAAAGCAAAGAGACTCAAACCTAAGCCATCCCCAGAAGAAAGATACTATTTACCACAAGAATTCCTTGGTTCCCATTGGTACTTAACATTTTCCCATCTGCTGTGACTACTATTTTATATCCTTTACTCTCAGTTCTGTGTCTAGGGCACATGGAAAAGCCCCTGGATAAGTTGGAAGGGGTCCAGGATTGGCAGTGATGTGCGTGTGTGCACAGGGTGCGTGTGTGCCAATCTTCGCCACTTAGCAGGACTGGCTGCCAAGTCTTTGGATCAGCTTCTCACTGAGTGGCCGTAGGACCCAGGCTGTCTCTTCACTCTGAGCTTCTAAGGAGGGCAAGCAGGGCAACAGTTGTTGAAATACATTCCTCTCAAACCCTCGAGTTCAGGAGCAGCAGCACAGTAGACGGTGGTGGCAGCACTTTGTTGCATGGACTTGGTGAAAGGCCTGGCCAAGGTAAACAGCAGTGTGTACCCTGGCCAGTTGCAATGAAGGGAGGAATACATCATGTTTCTTGGATGTACTGTGTTCAACCTGACCCCATGCAGGGAAAGGCAGCGATGAAGCTCATTGGAGTCTAGAATGATGCAGAGTTTGGAACGTTGTAAGCCAGCATGGCCCAGTAAGTCATTTTTAGATGGAGAGAGGGGGCTAGAGTCTAGTTTTCCAGAGGAATCATTAACATCTGTAAACCTATGGGACTCTGAGAAGACCATGAGTCTGGCTGAAGCTGAGTGGCACAAGACATCCTGAAAGAGCTGGACAAGGTAGAAGTGCCCCAGGTGATTCACCTGCAAGGTGGTCTCCAAGCCACCTTTTGTGAGGTTCCAGGGCAGAGCAAAAGCTGCTGCGTTGCACACAAACACATGCAGAAACACATTACTGGCCTTGAACACTTGAGCAAAATGCTGCATGCTACCAAGTAAAGTGAGGTGCAGGGTCATCATGTGTACGCTGGCTTTATGCCATGCTCCCAAAATGCTGACACGGCTTCATTGTCTCTTGTCATATTCCTACAGGCCAGGATCACGCAGGCACCATGAAGGACAAGACAAAAGACAGCGATTTCAAACACTATGCTTGAATTAGGTCCAGTAACTACAACCACTTTGCCAGTGAAATCTGGCCCTGGAGTATTTCCATGGCTGTGGTGCTGGCTCTGTAGGATTATCATCCATAATAAATGACAGTCTCGGGTCGAAATAGGTCTTTTATTTATACGGTCGACAATATACATTTGTCCGTTCCCGTCGGTGCTTGTTTCCAATCCAAAAGGCAAATCTGCTATTCGTTTTCTTTTTCCAGTTTTCGGTTGTTCCAACGAGTCTTCTCTGTGTGGTTGGCATAGTAAAACCCAGCCATCTTTGATGGTTCTCTGCTCCCAACCCAGCAGCAGGTTGTCGTCGCTGTCCGTTTTATCGGGTCCGCGTGGCTCACGGCTGTCATGGCAGCAGGGGCGCTCGCTCACGTGCCCTCTCAGACTCCAGCAGTCGGGTCTCGCGCCCAGGAACGCCCTTCAATCGAGCGCTGAGCTCCCCAAATCGTTAGTTTCTTGAAAATTGTATCTCCTCACTTATTCCCTTTCCAACAATATTCCTGTCATAATTGGATGCATTACAACTTCCGGAAGTCGTGTCTGTAATATTCGCTGGAGGACTCAGGGAAAGTTGACACCGATCCTCAGCAAAGGAATCCATGTTACTACCCAGGAAGTTGGAACTATGGGATTCTCTCCGCTCTGGCATTTTGGGAAGTGTAGTCAAGGAGCTTCCTGTAGTCACACCACTATTTCCTACAGGTGAGCCTATACGTAAACGTTTTCCTTCGGAATTCTGGGAAATGTAGTCCTGACGCCTTGTGTATAGCGTGCACTTCTGCTCAGTAAGGCGGAATCTGGTGAATGCTGGGAAATGTAGTCCAGAAGCCCAGTAAGATCACGGCACTTCCGTTCCTGGAGTGTAAGGTTTTTATAGTATTTTCCGTGGGGTGGTATGTTTGTTCCGCGTCTCCCTGGCTCATCCGAACTTCCTGGATGTATGCTTAAGATCCACAATGACCCGGCGGTCGATTTAAGGGAAAAGAAGCCCTCTGCGTAGGATGCTGGTATTGAAGGGCGAGGACGGCGGTCCTATGCGTTTGGGGAGCTTCTAGCGTCCCGGCGTGGGACGGGCTCGGATCATTTTTATCGCCTGGTTTGAGTTCCCGGGGCTCTCAGCTCGCCCAGTTTGCCTCCCTCCACTTTCTAGGAGTGCTTCTACCTAGTCCCTTTGGGGCGTTAGTTTCCCCGTGCTTCCCATTACTGTTCTTTAAAATAGGGATATTAGGACCTTCCTAATAGAATTGTTTATTAGGGAATTGAAAAAGATGGTAGAAATATAAACATTAAAATAGTTCTTGGTACGTGGTCAGTGGTGATTTCTCCCTAGTGTTAATTTCCAGAGAAGCTGTCATGTCCCCAGGTTAGGGTCAGAGCTCCAGCAGCACTGACCCTGCCTCCTCTTCTCTCCGATCCCCCTGCGTTACGCTGGTTAGTAGGACTTCTGACCACTCCCCGCACACACACACACCCCTCCTTTTTTGGGGGGAAGATAAGAGTTGCTTCCAGATTGCACAGAGGGAGAGGAAGGAAGCTTTAACTTTTTTCGCGGACGTGGGCACAATCAAGGCATTTTATAGCATTCTTTCCCCAGCCTGACTTCTCAAAAAGGACTGCACGGAGGCTACTGACAGCAAAGCTCCACGTGAGTGGGACTTGGCATTTTCCTTTTACAATTATGTTCACATAAATCAGAGAAAGTGTAGGATGTGTAATCCAGCATGAGTATTGATGATAATTTATCCTTAACTGCCAATTTTGATAGTAAGGGTTTTTGTTTTTTATGTTGTTTATTTACTTTTTTATCCTCACCCGAGGACATTTTTCGATATTTTGCTCAGATAGAGTGGGAGGGAGAGAGAGAGAGAGGAACATCAATGTGAAAGGGACACATCGAGTGGTTGCCACCCGCACGACCCAACCAGGGCCGGGGACAAACTGCAACCGAGGTACATGCCCTTAACGGGAACAGAACCCAGTCTCTCTGGACCGCAGGCCGACACTCTAACCGCTGAGCCAAACCGGCCAGGGCGATGGTAAGGGTTTTTATACAAATAAACACATTATGCCACATCATGGCTCTGTGAAGAAATGTTTTTTTCGTATTCTATAAAATTAGATTGAGTCCCAAGGAGCATAAGTTTTCTCCCATAGTCACCCACCTAATAAGAGGCTGAGCTGGGGTTGGAATTTAGGAAGTCCATGTCCAGAGTTTAAGTTCATAATCTCTTGTATATATTCTCCTTAAGCCATAGGAATTAGCTGGAATCAGGCCAGGTAGTTAGTACTTGATTGTGAGAGATCTTAAAATCAAGGCTAATGGGCTTAGACTTTTCTGTGAGTTTTTAAAAACATTGTCAACTATTTTGTTTCACTTATTTCAAAAATATATCTTATTCTTATAGAACCATATCATTATGGAGCGTTCAGAAATTACAGAATATGAGAGAAACATTTGTTATGTTTTCTTGTAATTGATTTTTTAGAGAAAGGGAGAGGGAGAGAGAGAGAAACATTGATGTGAGAAACATTGATCAGCCGCCTCTTGCACGTCCCCTACTGGGTATGGAACCTACAATCCAGGCATGTGCCCTGACCACAATTGAACCTGGACCTCTCAGTCCTAGGGATGTGGCTCAATCCACTGAACCAAACCAGACCAGCATTCTTGATGCTTTTTAAGAGTACAGAGTCAAGTTATTTAGGAGACAGTCCTTCATTTGGGTTTTATTTGGTGTAGTCCATGTTTAGGTTCAGATTTTGCATTGCTGGCAGGGATTCCACAGAAGTGGTAAGGTGTTCTTGTCATTACAACATAACAGGAGCTGAAGGATGTTGGTTTGTCTCTGTGTTAGTGAACTCAACTTTGTACACTGAGCTAAGGTGACTTCTATCAGATTTGTCCATTGTAAAGTTACTGTGTTTTGTTTTGTTTTTCTAAATTAATACAGTTTATGAGAAGATACTTTGATTAGCAGGCATTCTACTGTAAAGACAAGCTTCCCCTTCTCCCCACTTATTTATTTATTTATTCAAATATAAATATTTTATGAGTTTGGACTCAGAATCCATAAATTAGTTTTATTCATTTAAATGAAATGTAGATTAACAAACATTTATTTTTACCAACTTGTGGTATATTATACATATCATAGAATTCACCCATTTCAGGTGTAGCAATCAATGATTTTTAGTAATTTTGCTTAGTGGAGCACAGTTTTGTTTCCCCAGTTGGATTCCTCGTGTCCACTTGCAGTTAACTAACCCCCATTCTCTTTCCAGATACCTAGGCAACCACTAATTTATTTTCTGTCTCCATAAATCTACTTATTCTGGACATTGCATAAAAATGGAATCACACAATATGCAGTCTTTTGTGACTGGTTTATTTCTCTTTCCGTAATGTTTACAAAGTTTATCCATGTTCTACTATAATCAGTACTTCATTTCTTTTCATTTGGGGAATACTATTCCATTGTACAGATATGCCACAATTTGTTTATTCACACACAAGTTAACGTTTCAGTTGTTCCCAGTTTTAGATTATTATGAATAATGCTGCTATAAACATTCACACGCCAATTCACAACAGTTGTGCCTGTAGGTGAGCAGCATCCAGGCCACGCTTTTGTCTTTTTTTTTTTTCCTACCTTTGCAGACATTCCAGGCACAGTTCTACCTTCCTGGGTTCTGTATCACTCAGGACTACGCATCCCCAGGACTAGGAGGAAAAATGACCAAATTCAAGGTGAGTAGGACTTGCCTTTCCTTACTTTTATTTATTTATTTTCCCTCACCCAAGGACATTTTTCCATTTTTGTTCAGATAGAACGGGAGGAGGGTGGGGAGAGAAACATCCACGTGAAAGGGACACATTGAGTGGCTGCCACCCACACGACCAACCAGGGCCGGGGACAAACTGCAACCGAGGTACGTGCCCTTAGCGGGAACCGAACCTGGGTCTCTCTGGACCACAGGCTGATGCTCTAACCACTGAGCCAAACCAGCCAGGGTACCTTTCCTTACTTTTAAAACTCTACCTCATTACCAGCTTGTCACATGTTTTTTTGGGGACAAGTCAAGCAGACTTTGAGGACCTGTTGTGCTCCAGGGTTTTAGTTTACTTTGTACTTTTTTTTTTTTTATCCTCACCCGAGGACACTTTTCCATTTTTTGTTCAGATAGAGCGGGAGGGAGAGAGAGGAAGAGAAAGAGAGAAACATCGATGTGAAAGGGATACATCGAGTGGCTGCCACCCGTTCAACCCCAACCAGGGCTGGGGACAAACTGCAACCGAGGTACAAACTGCAACCAGTTTTCTTAGCGGAAACCGAACCCGGGTCTCTCCGGACCGCAGGCTGATGCTCTAACCGCTGAGCCAAACTAGCCAGGGCATTGTTTTTAGTTTTTGTTTTCTCTTCTTATTTATTTTATGGAGCAGAAAAATTACTAGAAATGAACAATTCTCCCACTTTACTGTTTCTCTGCTGACAAATTAGCTGTTTTCTTTTTTTTTTTTCTTTTTTTTTTATAGAGAGGAAGAGATAGAGGGATAGGAGAGAAACATCTATTAATTTTTCTACTTTTTTATACATTCATTGATTGCTTCTTTTTTTTGTTAATCCCCACCCGAGGATATTTTTCCATTGATTTTTTAGACAGAGTGGAAAGAAGGGAGGTGGGGGGGGGAGAGAAACATCAGTGTGAGAGAGACACATTGATTGGTTGCCAGCTGCATGACCCCAACCAGGCCAGTAATCGAACCAGCAACCCAGGTATGTGCCCTTGACCAGGAATCAAACCTGAGATCCCTTGGTCCACACGCCAGTTCTCTAACCGCTGAGCCGAACTGGCCAAGGATGTTTTTCTAACACTTCCTCATGTGCACTGATAGCTGTATTTGTATTCATGATATATGTACATCTAATTTTAAATTGTGACTTTTTCCCTCTAACTTTATATAATGTTTATTTTTTAGGATTACATCACATTCCCCTTGAATTGACATACCTTTTAATTTTTAACTACTTGATATACCTTTTAATTGTTTACTACTTACCACTCATAGACATTTAGATGGTTTAGGAATTTTATTGTTGTTTTTCTTAATTTATTTTTTAAATATGTTTTTACTGATTTTTTAGAGAGAGAAGAAGGGAGAGAGAAATAGAAACATCAATGTGAGAGAAACAACAATCAGCTACCTCCTGCATGCCCCCTACTGGGGATGGAGCCTGCAACCTGGGCATGTACCCTGACCGGGAATTGAACCAGGACCTCTCAGTCAATGGGACGCCACTCAATTCGCTGAGCCATACTGGCTGGGCTTATTTTTATTTTTCAGTTATAGTTGACATTTAATATCATACTAGTTTCAGCTGTACAACATAGCGGTTAGACATATAACTTACAAAGTGGTCCCCTCATTAAGTGTAGTACCCACCTGGCACCATACACAGTTATTACAATGTGGTTGACTATATGCCATATGCTGTACTTTACATCCCTGTGAGGAATTTTATTATTTTACGCAACAGTGCAGTGACAGGTGTCTTGCATAAATCTTTTTCTCCAAAATCAATTCTGGAAACAATCTGCCAGTTTTTTGTATGTGATAGGAGTCAAGTGGCTGTTTTCTTTCTTTAAAAAAAAGGACAGTCTTTTAAAAAAAAAATTTTTTTTAATTTTATTGATTTGAGAGAGAATGGAAGGGAGAGGGAGAGAGAGAAACGTGGATGTGAGAAACATCAATAGGTTGCCTCCTGCATGCCCTGACCAGGAATCTTTCAGTGCACAGGATGACGCTCAACCAACTGAGCCACACCAGCCAGGGCAAGTTGGCTGTTTTCTAGGTAGAATACCCAAATATCAGCGTGGCACAGCAGACTCTCACCGCTGCTTCACACAAATATTATCGAAGGTTTTCACACAGCAAGAGCTAGATTCCATCTTCCCCCTGCCTGAGTCAGGCCTCTGTGTTTTTTATTTAGTGATCTTTTTGTTTTCTCTTGTGTAGTAACTAGCATGACTAAAGTAATAAAGAGCCTTACTTTAAAATGTCCAGAGATGGCCCTGGCAGGGTAGCTCAGTTGGTTAGAGCGTCATCCTGATAAGCCAAAATTGTGGGTTCAGTTCCTGGACAGGGCACATACAAGAGACAACCAATGAATGCATAAATGAGTGCAACAACAAATCAATGTTTCTCTTTTTCTCTCTTTAAAAATCAGGAAATTTTTTGCCCTGGCCTGTTTGGCTCAGCGGATAGAGCATCGGCCTGCGGTCTGGAGAGACCCGGGTTCGGTTCCCGCTAAGGGCATGTACCTCGGTTGCAGTTTGTCCCCGGCCCTGGTTGGTTGTGTGGGTGGCAGCCACTCGATGTGTCTCTTTCACGTCGATGTTTCTCTCTCTCTCTCTCTCCCTCCCACTCTATCTGTACAAAGAAATGGAAAAATGTTCTCGGGTGAGGAAAAAATAAATAAAAAATAAAAAAATAAAAATCAGGAAATTTTTTTTTTTTTTTTTTTTTTTTTTATCCTCACCCGAGGATATTTTTCCATTTTTTTGTACAGATAGAGTGGGAGGGATAGAGAGGAAGGGAGAGAGAGACAGAAACATCGATGTGAAGGGACACATCAAGTGGCTGCCACCGCACGACCAACCAGGGCCGGGGACAAACTGCAACCGAAGTACATGCCCTTAGCGGGAACCGAACCCGGGTCTCTCCAGACCGCAGGCTGACGCTCTAACCGCTGAGCCAAACCGGCCAGGGCAAAAAATCAGGAAATTTTTTTAAAAAGTAGTGTGGAGAGATGTGCTGTAAACCTTGAGATTACACAGGACAACCCACATAGCGTCCAGGCTTTATGTGTAAGATAGGAAGAAGGCAGATGCTACCAAATATGTTTGGACTAAGTTACTAAATACTCCTGGGGGCAACTGGCAATATTCACCTAAAAGTAAATCACATGGAACCCAGGATATATATTTAGATGTTTAGGGCTCCTGGAGGTTACTTGTAAGTAGACTCAATGAGGGCACAAAATAAAAATATGAGGACTGCCCAGCCAGTGTGGCTCAGTGGTTGAGCGTTGACCCAAGAGGTCACTGATTCAATTCTCGGTCAGGCACATGCCCAGGGTGTGGGCCAAATCCCCAGTGCGGGGCATGTAGCAGGTGGCTGATCGGTGTTCTTTCTCATCAATGTTTCTATTTCTCTTCCTTTCCCTTCCTCTGTCTCTAAAATCAATAAAGGAAAAAATATATATGTGAAGACTGTTGTCACTGCCGCACTTCTGCTGAGGGTGAGGAGAATCAGTGTGTGGCTTTGGGGGAGGAGAAGGGTTAGGAGGTAAACACATTGACTTAAGTCGCTCAAAATCTGAAACCATTTCCTGCCTCTCCTCTCTCCCTTCTCAGTGCTGTCCCTTTTCAAGTGGTGGCTGATTATACGATTGAGGTTACCATGTGTTTGGTGTTGTAGGAGGAATTGACCTTTAAGGACGTGGCTGTGGTCTTTACCAAGGAGGAGTTGGGGCTGCTGGACTCTGTCCAGAGGAAGCTGTACGGAGACGTGATGCTGGAGAACTTGCAGAACCTGGTCTCAGTGGGTGAGGACAGGGGCCCTCTGTAACTGAATGTCAGCTCCCAGGATTTGCCTGTGTCCTCAGGCATTCAAGGCTTTGTGGGTCTTGAAATGGTTGCCTGCATCCCTTTGTCGACCACTTTTGTACCAAAACTTTTTTCTTATTTATTGATTTTATTTATTTATTTTATTATTATTTTTTAATCCTCACCCAAGGACATTTTTGCATTTATCTTCAGAAAGAGCAGGAGGGAGAGAGGGGGGAAGAGAGAGAGAGAGAAACATGGATGGGAGAGAGACACATTGAGTGGTTGCCATCCACACGACTCCAACGGGGCCAGGGACAAACTGCAACCGAGGCATGTGCCCTTAGCGCGAACCGAACCCCAGACTCTCTGGTCTGCAGGCTGATGCTCTAACCACTGAGAAAACTGACCAGTGTTCTTTATTGATTTTAGAGAGAGTAAGGGAGAGGGAGAGAAAGATAGAAACATCAATGAGAGAGAACATCAATTGGCCACCTCCTGCACACCTCTCACTGGGGATTGGGCCCACAGCCCAGGCATGTGCCCTGACTGGGAATCAAACCAGCGACCTCTTGGTGCATGGGTTGACGCTCAACCACTGAGCCACACTAGCAAGGCTCTCACATGATGTTTCTATCTATCTCTTCCTCTACCTCCTCTCTGTGAAACCAATAAAAACTTTTTTTTTTAAGTACATACTCACCAAGTAATATTTTTCCAAGCTTCCACTCTTGGAACTTATATTTACATTTGAATAATTTATTTAATTAAGGACTGGGTAACTTCTAAAACAAAATTTTTCAGGTTTTTTTTTTTCATTATGAGCCATAGTAAATGACACATCTTTCACTGTAACCAGAACAAATGTTTCACATGTTATGGAATTATATATGTGACTTTCATAGACATTTCATATATTGACTCCTTTCCTGTTAGTGATGATGCCTTGATACTTTCTATCCTTTTTTGTTCTGTTTTTTTTTCCTGAATGCCTATACCAGGCTTTTAAATTTATTTCACAGCTCACTAGAGGGCTTTTCAGTTTGAAAACTGTTGTAATAGGCTTTATCTACAGCCAAAGTTTTTCCAAATTCTTTTTTCAGAGACAATCCAAAAGCTTCAGAAGGAACCAGCAATAGGCTCTCTTGCTTTCTTTTCACTCCAAGGAATTTTTCCACCTTAAGTTTTCTTATTAGCATCATGCTTGGTGTAATTACCCCTTTGTCTTTTGATTTTATCAAAAGTGATCCTTCTCTCCGGCCGGTGTGGCTCAGTGGTTGAGCGTTGACTCATGCACCAAGAGGTCGCCAGTTCAATTCCCGGTCAGGGCACGTGCCCAGGTTGTGGGCCCAATCCCCAGTGAGGGGCATGTAGGAGGTAGCCAATTGATGTTTCTATCTCTCTCTCCCTCTCCTTTCTTCTCTCTCTAAAACCAACAAAAGGGGGGGGGGGTGATCCTTCTGTGGAGGAAAGGCAAAGTGCCATGGGTCCAACTACCCTCCATGGACATCCTTAGGAGGACCTTGGAGAACCTGATGCCTCCTGTGGCAATGATGTTTGTGGACTGGGTGATTTGGAAGAGGCAGGTGAACAAGCTAGATGTATGTAGTTAAGTCTTCGGTCCTTCTTAGTAACAGAGGCAAGACCATATTCTTTTCCTATGGCTTCTGAGAGTCACTGTTCACCTGCATCTGGGAAGGAGAGGGAAGAGGGAGTGGTATTGCTTTTAATTTTTAGAACAATCATTACTGTATCAGTATGCAAAGGACATGCTCCAATGGGCAGTGTAGAAGTGCACAAGACTGTCTACCTATCTTGTACATTATAGGCATGGTCTAACACTTTCTTGTATTTTCTTCTAATGATAAATTGTGAGAGAACAGCAGAAATCATAGTGAAAAATTTTTGGTGGAGTTCATTTATTTATTCAACATACATCTGCTGCATACTTACCATGCTCCAGGCACGGTTCTGAGTAGTGGTTATAAAGCTGGAAAGTGTGATGTGTTTGGTGTACACTGTGTAAAATGCATCCCTCTCTGATTCTGCGTTGTGATGAGAAAGATATTAAACAACAATTGACAGTGTGTCACGTGGTAAAAAGTGCTGTGTAGAACATCAACAAGGAGTGTGGAAGTTGCCAGAAATGAATGGAGGGAGGGCAAAATTTATTATTTTATACCATTTTGGCCATTCTAAAGAGGCCTTGTTAGTGGGCTGACATTGAGTAGAGACCTAAAAGACATGAGCCATCCATGTGTCCATTGGGAAGAGGTCTCAGCAGGAACTAACTCTTGTCCTGGGTTGGCTTTCTGAGTTTACGTTGTGACCTCACCTTTTCTTTCTCCCAGATTCTGTCTCCATTGTAAAAGATTACCTTCTACTTTTTCACTCTTTTTTCTAGAGATCTGAATGACTGTCAGGTTATAGAATAATGTTTGTTATCTGTTTAACTTCATTTTCTGTTGGTCCTCATGAAGGAAACTTACAAGTAGCAGCTAACATTTCACTATCTGCTTTATACTGTGCTTTAGTCAGTATGTAATTAGATATTTACTCCCAAACTGCAAGTCATTCTAACCATTCCAGTCACTTCAACATTGAAGTAACTTTCCAATAAAATGACCCATGGTGGAGTTATAAAGAGGTTCTTTATCATATGTCTACTGGAGCAAAAGAGGAGGCTTTTAATTGACTATTCCTACAGGGAGGGGAGTGAATTTTTCCTCTGTAAAAATTTTTTCAGAGATCCTTTTTTTTTTTTTAGTTTATTTTTTAGAAGAGTTTTAGGTTCACAGCCAAATTGAGAGGAAGGTACAAGATATCCCATCTATCCCCTGCCTTTATACACTCACAGACTCTTACATTGTCAACATCCCCCATGAAATACAATTGATGACTCTCTGTTGACACATCGTTATCACCCAGAGTCTATACTTCATGTTAGAGTTCACTCTTGGTGTTATACATTTTGTGGATTTAGACAAATGTATAATGACATATATCCACCATTGTAATATCACATGGAGTATTTTCACTGCCCTAAAAATATTCTGTGCTCCACTTACTTATCCCTCCCTCCCTCAAACCCCTGTCAGCCACCGAAATTATTATTATTTTTTATCCTCACCCGAGGACATTTTCCATTTTTTGTTCAAGTAAAGTGGGAGGGAGAGAGAGGAACAGAGAGAGAGAGAGAAACATCGACGTGAAAGGGACACATCGAGCAGTCGCCACCCACACAACCCAACCAGGGCCGAGCACAAACTGCAACCAAGGTACGTGCCCTTAGCAGGAACCAAACCCAGGTCTCTCTGGACCGCAGGCCATCACTCTAACCGCTGAGCCAAACTGGCCAGGGCAGCTACTGAAATTTTTATTGTCTCCATACTTTTGCCTTTTCCAGAATATTTTATAGTTGGAACTATACAATATGTTGTCTTCAGATTAGCTTCTTTCATTTAGCAATATGCATTTACCTTTCCTCCATATCTCTTCATGGTTTCATAGATCATTTCTTTTTTAGCACTGAATAATATTCCATTGTATGGATATACCACAGTTTATTTATCTATTCACCTACTGAAGAACATCTTGGTTGCTTCTGAGTTTTCTTGTTATGAATAAAGCTGCTGTAAATGTCCATGTATAGGTTTTTGTGTGGACTTAAGTTTTCATTTCTTTTTAGTAAATACCAAAAAGTTCAGTGTTGTATGATATGGTTTTGTAAGAAACCACCAAACTGTCTTCCAGAGTGGCTGAACCATTTGGCATTCTCACCAGCAACGAATAAGAGTTTCTATTGCTCCACATCCTCACCAGCATTTGGTGTTGTCAGTGTATTGGATTTAGGTGTCTGGTAGTGTCTTGTTGTTTGAATTTACATTTCCCTGATGACATAAAATGTGGAGTATCTTTTTTTTTTTTTTATCCTCACTCGAGGACATTTTTCCATTTTTTGTTCAGGTAGAGTGGGAGGGAGAGAGAGGAACAGAGAGAGAGAGAGAGAAACATCGATGTGAAAGGGACACATCGAGTGGCTGCCACCTGCACAACCAACCAGGGCCGGGGACAAACTGCAACCGAGGTACGTGCCCTTAGCGGGAACCGAACCCTGGTCTCTCCGGACCGCAGGCCAATGCTCCAACCGCTGAGCAAACCAGCCAGGGCTGGAGTATCTTTTTATATGCTAAATTTCTATCTGTATATCTTCTTAGGTTCTTAGGTAAGGCGTATGCTAAAGCTTTTGGCCCATTTGTTTTTTGTTTTCTTTTTTGTTTGTTAATCCTTACTTGAGGATATTTTTCCATTGATTTTCAGAAAGAGTAGAAGGGAGGGAGAGAGGATGGCACGGGGAGAGAGAGAGAGAGAGAGAGAAAGAGACAGAAACATTCATGTGAGCGAGACTCATTAACTGGTTGCCTCCCACACAACCCTGATCAGGGCCAGGGATCAAACCTGAAACCCTTTGGTCTGCAGGTCAACACACTAATCTCTGAGCCAAACCAGCCAGGGCTGTTCTTTTTCTTATTATTGAGTTTTAAGGGAAGTACTTTTTAACTAATTGAAACAATTATTGAAAAAATAATCTCCAGATATTTAGATAACTTTGTACAAATATAGTAACTTTGGAATACCAACAAGGGTAAATCTATTAGAAAACATATTTCTAAATTGAAATTACTGGCAATGGTCAAAAGATTGTAAGAGTTGCCTTCTCCTTTAACATCTGTCAACACAGAAAAATAAGATTAGATGTACATGTTGTGCAGAATTTCCAGAAATACTTTGAATATGTATGAATATGTAAATATAAATTCTTCAAGATATTGGATATTAAATTATATTACATGAACCTAAAATTCAACGTATTTGGTTGTTATTGCTTTTCCTTAAAGTTCTAGTTGATTTGTATTTTATTTATATAACTGTTATATCTACATAATTTATTAACATAATTTACTATCCAAGATTCTACACTAACTTTGTTATTAAGTAGAAATGGCCATAGGTTAACAGTTTGAATCATGTTACCAAAATTTTAAATTAAATCTTTGGCATCTAGCTTACACCTCACATAGGAGACTTGGTGTGTACTAATAGGTTTCATTATGCTTAATGAACAGGAGTCAACTAGACCACTTCTTGGTGTCCGTAGATATGCAAACCAAAGTACATGATACCCAGTGGAAAAGACAAATTGAATATTCCCTAGATTCAATGAAGTCTCAGGCTCTCTCTCAGATGTGCAATTGTGAAAACACTGAACAAAGCCTTCAGTTATTCACTTCTCTGCATTCTCTGTCTTTACAGGAGGAAAGATCCAAAGTGAGATAGAAATTGTTCCAGAGGCAGAACCACATGAAGAGCTTTCCTGCTGGCACATCTGGCAACAAATTGCAAGTGAATTAACTAGACATCAAGACTCCTTGATAAAAAGTTCTAAAGTCCCCAAACAGGGTGATTCACCAGGCCAGGTTGGGGCAGGTCTGTCTATAACTCACGCAGACCAGTGTAATGAATGTAAAAAATCTTTCACTTTTGATCTTCATCAACAAATACACTCAGGAGAGAAATCTCACACATGTGGTGAGTGTGGAAAAAGCTTCTGTTACAGCTTAGCACTCCGTATTCATCAGAGAGTTCACTTGGGTGAGAAACGCTATAAGTGTGATGATTGTGGTAAGGAATTCAGTCAGAGTTCACATCTGCAAACTCATCAGAAAGTCCACACTGTAGAGAAACCATTCAAATGTGAGCAGTGTGGGAAAGGCTTCAGTCGTAGATCAACACTTACTGTTCATTATAAGTTACACACGGGAGAGAAACCTTATAATTGTGACAAATGTGGAAGAGCCTTCATTCACGCTTCACATCTTCAGGAACACCAGAGAATCCACACTGGGGAGAAACCATTCAAATGTGATATATGTGGGAAGAACTTCCGTCGTAGATCAGCACTTAATAGCCATTGTATGGTCCACACAGGAGAGAAACCATACAAATGTGAAGACTGTGGGAAGTGTTTCACTTGTAGTTCAAATCTTCATATCCATCAGAGGGTCCACACAGGAGAGAAACCATATAAATGTGAGGAATGTGGTAAGTGCTTCATTCAGCCTTCACAATTTCAGGCCCATCGGAGAATCCACACTGGAGAGAAACCGTATGTTTGTAAAGAGTGTGGTAAGGGCTTCATTTACAGTTCAAGTTTTCAAGCCCATCAGGGAGTTCACACAGGAGCTAAACCATACAAATGTGAGGAGTGCGGAAAAAGCTTTAGGATGAAAATCCATTATCAAGTTCATCTGGTGGTCCACACAGGTGAGAAACCCTATAAATGTGAGATATGTGGGAAGGGGTTCCGTCAGAGTTCATATCTTAAAATCCATCAGAAGGCCCACTGTGTAGAGAAACCTCTTAAGTGTGACGAGTGTGGGCAGGGCTTCACTCAGAGTTCACGACTTCAGATTCATCAGCTTATTCATACTGGGGAGAAACCATACAAATGCGAAGAATGTGGAAAAGGATTTAGTCGTAGAGCAGATCTTAAAATTCACTGTAGAATCCACACAGGAGAGAAACCATATAATTGTGAGGAATGTGGGAAGGTCTTCAGTCAGGCCTCACATCTCCTGACCCATCTGAGAGTCCACAGTGGAGAAAAACCATTCAAATGTGATGAGTGTGGGAAGAGCTTTGGTCGGAGTTCACATCTTCAAGCCCATCAAAAAGTCCACACTGGAGAAAAGCCATACAAATGTGAGGAGTGTGGGAAGGGCTTCAAGTGGAGCTTGAACCTTGACATGCATCAGAGGGTCCACACAGGGGAGAAACCGTATAAGTGTGGGGAGTGTGGGAAGCACTTCAGTCAGGCCTCGAGTCTTCAACTTCATCAGAGTGTCCACACTGGAGAGAAACCATACAAATGTGATGCATGTGGCAAAGTCTTCAGTCGGTCTTCACAACTTCAGTATCATGGGCGAGTTCACACAGGGGAGAAACCTTATAACTGTGACATATGTGGTAAGAGCTTCAGTTGGAGATCAAATCTTGTAAGTCATCACAAAATTCATGCTGGTGATACATTGTATAGAGGTGACAAGAGTGGTAGGAATATCAAAGACTTGTCAGAAGAAAGAAGTTCTACAAAATGATGTTTTTTAAAAACTCATGGGCAATTTGAATTCTTACCAAGTTTCATAGGAGAAAAAATAGTTGTTTTAGTTTAGTCAGTGTTTAAGCAATACTGAACACATCTCAATTTTCAGCAGGCCATGCATGCAGTGGAGAACTCTTGTTAAGTGGTGCAGTAAGAACTTCATTTAGAACTTTGACATTTATTAGTTGTCACTTAGGAGATGGTACTTAGAAAGGAAAAGAGTTTGGTCTGACCTTTAACAAAAGGCCATGTCAGAATTGCTGCTCACTAGAATGTAAGCTCCATGAGGGCAGGGACTTGGCTGTTATGTCTGCACAACCTTTACATTGACTCACTCTTGTAGATGTGCTTAGTACTTGTATGTTAGAGAAACCAAAAGGAGAAAATATACAACATATGAAATCACATCCAAAGGAGGAAACCTACCAAATAAAATTAAGTTAGGGAAATGAACATTAGTTGAAATACAGAAAACCAAGTAGTATTCCAATTCACAACATTAATATGGTAACTGCCTTATTGCAGCTGTCTTCTGTCTTTGCCACAGTCTCTGTTCTGAAGTTGATTCTTACTATTTGGGGCCCTCTTTAGTTTTCCAAGCATTGTGTACAGTGTAATTAAACTATCTTTTGTGGTTTTTCTGATAGAAAAAAATTTTGTTTAACTTTGTAAGAAGTTAAAAAGCATGTTACACAATTTATTTTTATCTATTAATGTTAAGACAAGGATTCACCCTCGACACTTTGAAAATGTCACAAGTAGTTACCAGTGTCATTATTTTTTAACTTTGAATTTAATTATTGATTTATAATTTTGTGCATTTGCAGCCTCACTTTGAAATGTTTGATGACTGTTATAGCATTTCTTTTATCAAAACTTCTCAAGAATATGCTGTATTCTTCCCCCACACCCATGATACGAATACTCTACCCCCAAAATTGTGGGAATTTGATAATTTTATCAAATGTATTATTGAGGCAAAACTAATGTTTATATGCTTTTTCCTGTTGGTAGCAGTAAAGCATGGTTTGGGGAAAGGAGTATATATCAGAATATAGGTTTGACCTGGAAATCATATAATGGAAGTTATGCTTATGAGATTAAAATTCCAAGAAAATGAGCACCACACTGATGACATTACTGAACTGTTTAAAATGGAAATCAGCATACAGTTGTAGATGAGTTTGAATTTTTATATATTGTGATATTAACCTGAAGCCATTAAAATTATGGCAGATAGCCCTGGCCAGTTTGGCTCAGCGATTGAGTGTTGGCCTGTGGACCAGAGAGTCCCTGGTTTGGTTCCCACTAGGGGCACGTACCACACACACACACACAAAAAGTATGGCAGATATCTGTTAGGACAAGAGAAATACATAATATGGGTTTTGAGTGATCATTGATTGTACCCTTCATAGTATAATCAAACATTGATCTTTGAATGTTTGTATGTGTGTTTCCATGTGTATGTGTATATGTGAATGTTTCTGAATGAGACTAGCATTTGAGTCAGCCAACTCAGTAATGTAGATTGCTCTCCCCAATGTGGGTGGGCATCATCCAATGGGTTGAAGACCTGAATAGAATAAAAAGAGGGAGGATAATTTGCCCCTTTTCATTACCTGCCTCCCTGTTTCAGTCAGGCCATATCTTCAGCTCTGGGACTGGATTTTAAACCATTTGCTCTCCTGGTTCCCAGGCCTTGGGACTTGATCTAAATAACACCACCAGCTAGCCTGGATCTTCAGTGTGCAGACAGCAGACCATGAGTTTTCCCAACCTTCAGACTTATGTGAGCCAGTTCCTATGACAACTGCATGCATATATATCTGAGATACTTGCTCACCAGGCTTCCCTTTGGGAACTGGTGCTGGCCACCAGTTTTTAGAACATCTTGCAGTTTCTTGAAACATTTGTTCAACCACACATATTGGGTAGAAGTCAAAGACAAACCCTAGATAAACAGGGATGGGGCAGCCCTTCTGGACAGCACTGCTGATGGAGACCAATCACAGGCATCAGAGGGAGATTTCTAAATCTGAGGAAGGAACTACAAATTGTGGGGGCTGTTGATGCACAGGACCAAAAGCAGGAGCCCCACTTGAACCTAAGGGTACTACCCATCTCTCATTGCTAATACAATCCCATCATCTTGCGAAGTTCACCACAGCTATCCTTGTTCACTTGTTTGGGAACCCTAGTCTTAGTGTCTCCATTCCAGGATGGAGGCTGCTAAGGTGGCATGAACATCTTAGTGATATTGACCACCATTTTCCAAAAAGATTGGGTTTAAGTCACAGTGATTACACTGCTAAGTATATTCCCAAGAGAACTGAAATCACATCCACTCAAAAACTTACGCAAAAGTGTTCATAGCAGCAATATTCACAATAGGCAAAAAGTGGAAACAATCCTCTGTTCATCAACTGATAAATGGTTAAACAAAATGTAGTATATCCATACAATGCAATATTTTTCAGCAATATGAAGCAATGAAGTGCTGATTCATTCTACAACATGGATGAACCCTGAAGACATGCCAAGTAAAAGAAGCCAGACACAAGAGATGTGTGGTATGACTACATTTATATGAAATGTGCAGAATAGGAAATCCACAGAGAAAGTAAATAAATGCTTTTTCTAGATCCTGGGGGTGGGGGATGGAATTGGGGATGAGGAGTAACTGCTAATGTGTATGTGGTAGTGGAGGGGGGACATTCCTTAGGGGCAGATGAAAGTATTCTAGGATTGGATAGTGGTCATCATTGCACAATATTGTGAATGTTTTCAAACGTGGAGAAATAAAGTGATACTCCCCATAAGTGTTAAAATGTAGCTGTATTAGCCCTGGCCGGTTTGGCTCAGCGGTTAGAGCGTTGGCCTGCGGTCCGGAGAGACCCGGGTTCGGTTCCCGCTAAGGGCATGTACCTCGGTTGCAGTTTGTCCCCGGCCCTGGTTGGTTGTGCGGGTAGCAGCCACTCGATGTGTCCCTTCACGTCGATGTTTCTCTCTCTCTCTCCCTCTCCCTTCCTCTCTCTCCCTCCCACTCTATCTGTACAAAAAATGGAAAAATATCCTCGGGTGAGGATTAAAAAAAAAAAAAAAAATGTAGCTGTATTAGATCAGTCAAAGTTCTCCCAAGGAAAAAAAATCAGTTACTATACACTAGCAGAACTTGGGATGATGAGTCATCCAAATGGAGGAGAGGACATGGTTACACAAAAATCTTCATATGCAACTCTTAGTAATGTCGACTGCTGTAGCCTTTCTGAAGGTCAGCAACACTAACATTAAATTTAAGTACACATGCCCTGGCCAGTTTGGCTCAGTGGTGGAGCATTGGCCTGCGGACCAATGAGTCATGGGTTCAATTCCAGTTAAGGGCACATACCTCAGTTGCGGTTCATCCCCAGCCCTGGTTGGGGTTGTACGGGAGGCAACCAGTTGAGGTGTCTCTCTCATATCGATGTTTCTCTCTCCGTCTTTCTTCTCTCCCACTCTATCTGAAGATAAATAGAAAAATATCCTCAAGTGAGGATTAAAAAGAAAATTAAGTACGCACATGCGCTATGAGATAATTTAATCCTCGGGTATATATTCCAGAGAATTCTCACACTATTTATTGCAAAGGGTTCCAAATTCCCACATAGGTCTGTAAGCAGACACATGACAGTGCTCATTTCATTGTAATTGGAAAAGGCAATAGAAAGAGGTAAAATGTTATGGGTGCAGAAAATGAAGTTCTATGAACTTCCATCTACTTTCTTTGGTTTTGCTATTCGTTTGGTAACTTCTTGGGATGAATATTTTTCTGAATCAGTTTTCAGCTTTCCTTCTATTTTAACATTTATGCACTTAAGGCTCAACATTTTACTCTGTATAAGTTAAAGTCTTCGGTTCCAATTGCAAGTTTGAACATTTTTTTTTTTTACAACATGAATGCCTTTGCTTCTGGCAAAAGACACATGGTTTGCTTATGAAAATAATAGCTGCCATTTGTCAATGTCTCCCACATGCAAAACACTGTGTTTTAATACTTGACATTGTCTCTAATCCTTCTAACAACTTATACAGGTAGTCCTAATAGCCTTGCTTTACAAATAAAGAAACTGAGACTCAGAGTTGTTAAGTTCATGCAAGGTCACACAGTCTACAGTGGCAGAGTGAGAACCTGAATCCATGAATTCTTGAATCCAGAGCTCAGGTGGGCTCTCCCTGTGCCCCTCTCATTGCCACTCCACTCACTCCCTTACTGGGTCAGTGTCTAAATGGTCGTCACAGTGTAGACCATACTCCCTCTCACCAAAGACTGCCATGCCATGGTTGAGAGCAAGCTTTTTGTTTAGAGAAAGGTGTGTGTGTGTGTTTTAGGGATTTACTGCTCGATTGGATTTCCTGCAATAATACATGGGGGGAATTTTGGGTATTGGATTGTTTTTTCAAGGTTGAGAATCACTGTAATGACATATGATATACAGGTCCTTTTCTTTCTTCTTTTTCACAAATGTTGGATTTGGGGGAGCAGGGTACAATCACATCTTCTTTAATTCTCTTTCCCCAAATTGGTTCTTTCTCCTACTTTTTGTTTCTGTGAATTGATTTTCATAAATGAAAAGAAATACTGTTCTCGTTCACACAGATTATATGGTTACAGATTATACGGTTATATTTTCCCAAGTTTCTAGGCTCATAGTGGATTGGTTTCATCCATCTTCCATGACATTCCAACTTGACTACTTCCCTTTACCATTTGCTCTTGCGGAGCAAGACTCCTGGGGCATTTTATTCTTCTCAGAGCCTCAGTTTACTTATCTGGCTATAATGAAGATATCAGCAGGGCTGCCTTCCTTCTGGAGAGAAGTTCGCTTCTTGCTTTTACCAACTTCTAGAAGCTGTTCTCATTCTTTGGCTCGTGGCTGTCTTACAGCAATGGCATTACTCTGACTCCACTTTATGGCATCACACTTGCTTCTCTCATGTGTGATATTTTTATACTAGTTTTACTTATTTTCAAATGCATATGTTGGGTCCCTGAGCTGCGATCTCTTTTCCTCCCATTCAGGTGTCCTAGTTTTGGACTCTTGTCTCTTCTCTCTTTCCCATATAGAATCACTTTTATTACATTGCCTGATTAGCATTCATTCATTACATGATTGACTAGTTCTGATCCACACATTAAGATAACTGTTTCATGCTACAGGTGTATTGTGAGGAATCACTACACTACAGCCTACAGTGCTTACTTTTTTTTAACCCTCTGACCCCCTTCACCTGTTGAATCTTTCTCCTCTTGGTTCTGTCAGTTTTCACTTTATTAAATATAACGTAAGTTGTCAGTTTCTGTTAACTTGAAATTTATCATTATGAAGTGTCCCTCTACATGTCAAGCAATGCTTTTTTTCTTAAAGTTCACTTGCTCGAATATTAATAGCACAAGTTTTATAATAATAGAAATAATATGAGGCCTAGGATGATGGTACTTTTCTCTAGAAAGGATTTTCATTTGCTTTAAGGGCCAGAAGATGCTAACAAAACACGTTCACCTTTATGCAATGTCAGGGATTGAGGTGACCTGACGTTTGGTTTCAGTACCTGCCAAAGAATGCCCAGTTCCCTTTTACTCTTATTACTGCGGTGAAGCTCTTTGGGGGTTTACCAGGAAGCCTCTGTGGTAGGCAATGGATTT